CAACTCATAAATTAAGGGTCTGTGTCATCATCATACAGTAAATGTGATGGGTCGTCAATTAAATGAATACTAGAAGCTAAAATGTGACATTTCTGTCCTCTAGTTTCAGCATAATATAAAAGTGATTGCACGTCTCTCTATCAGGTCACGGAGGATGACGTTCTGGATGCTTTGGAAACTGTTCTGCAGTCCCACATGTCATCTCCGGCAACCAGAGGCTTTGCTCTCACCGCCACCATGAAACTGAGCACACGCATCACTGATAACGTGGAGTAAGAAACACTTTTATCAGTCGCTCACAGCAAACAGTGACCGGATACAAGTGAAGCACATTAACTGTGGCTGGTTTAAAGTGGCAAAGTTTGATTTATTTATTTATTTTGCCGTGCAACTCAAAAGGAAAAGAAGTGTGTAGTGCAGTACTTGGATGTTGAGTTAATGATTACTTTGTAATGTGTTGAGTAAAAAAACCCACTCTTATTCAGGAACAAAACCCGCCTACGCAGTGACATTTCCAAACACAGCCAACCTGCATTTGATTGCTTCAACACTGCAACACATTTCAGCGAAGGCTAAATGAAGGCTGCATTCGCAAGATAAAAGAGGCTAAATGGGGAAAAAAACAGAAGTACTATTCCATAATTTGCATTTCCATATGTTAAGCTACATGTTTCTATTAAATCTCCTCTTTTATTTTCTGTCTCACATTCCACTGTGGCAAAGATTTGATGCTAGTGTTTTACATATAAAGAGTGTTATCAATGTTGGCACAGCACTTCTGGTCGCTAACAGACTTTAGGACAGATGATTGAGTTTCAGCAGTCTAACAGTCAATTATAAGGGGTTGTTTAGAAAAGACTTGTGATTAAGACAATTTCTCAATAGTTGCAGTCTTTTCTCAGCAGCCGCCTGACTGCTTCTCTTCCTCTTCATCTCCCCTACCCCTGCCAGTCGGATCAGAAGCATCGTCAGCATCTATGGCAGCTGTTTAGATGTGGAGCTTCAGCAGAGGGCAGTTGAATACAATGCTCTGTTAAAGAAATATGACTACATGAGGTATGCAGCATGATGAAGAAGTTGACGTTTCCTGTTCTTTATGAAATCATGTAATATTCTGTTTCTGTCCCTAGAAAATTACAAGTATTTTCGTTTATATTGTGATTACAATGTTATGGTTAAATTTTACAATTGACAATAGGTACTATTTTCTGGCCATAAACAGCTGACATGATCCTTTTCTTTGCAGGGCAGCGGTACTGGAGAGGATGCCTGTGATTGAAAAGAACTCCCCAGGTCATACCAACGGAGAGTCGACAGGGGAGGCCATCAAGGAAATCAAATCAGCTAAAGTCAAGCAGGGAGAGCCAGTGCTGCCCCAGCAACCTGCTAACCAGGTACACTACATTGACACAGATTTCATGTTTATGACGGCAAGTTGGTCAAGACTAGACTGGTGACCTCGGGCTAGATTTCACAATCCCATTTCTCTCTGTCTGACCTCTTTTCGTTGGCCACCTATTGAGTTTCAAGATTTTACTGATAACTTTTCAAGCATCATCAGGTCAGGCTCCAAGCTGTCTTATGACCTGTTAAACATCTATGAACCAGTATGTCAGCACAGGTCCTGCTGACACAGCAAAATTCCTGCCTTACCCTAATGAGCTTCTATGTATTTTTTATGTGATTTATTTTAGTTATATTATCATGCCCTCTGTTATGGGCTGTCCATAATAAATAGAGGTGTCTAATTTTCTTAGAGACACCAGGTGGTCAGTACTTGTGTTGTCATGTAAATTCTGACCCTTTCCCATACAGGGTTTGGTTTGCCGGCCATATGTTTTCTCTTTTATGCAAATCAAATTGTAATGAAGCTCAGTTAGGAGGTTCAGCAGCAATGTTCTGGTGAAAAACACAATAGACTTTCAACTTAATTCATGTTAATCGTTGTAATCACTATTCAGCTGTCTCCTTCTTTTTCTCTAGTTTTATGATTATGTTTGTAACGGCACTTTGAAATCTTAAAAATATATGCTTTTCAGATGAAAGATTTGCTTTCAGTTTGCAACAGCAACAGCAATGTTTTCTGTTCAGGTTAAGATTAAACCAGGCTGTTTCCTCGTCCTGTCTATGGTTTTCCTCAGGTGTGTGATCTCTTGGACCTGCTGGGAGGCTCTGAGGAGACTCTGCAGCCCAGGCCGGCAGTAGGAGGTACATTCCCAGGCCTGCCCATGAGCACAGCCAGCCCTGCTGGAGGAGACCTCCTGGATCTGTTGGGAGTGTTAGAGCCTGCACCCCTTGCACCAGGTCTCTGACCCTCACACAAGCGCGCACATACAATAGTTTAGACCGAAAGGGTTTAGGAGAGTGAAAGAAACAAGAATAAGTCTAGGAATTGGGAAATAAAAATAGAAAAAGTAAAAAGGGACTGAAATTGTATTCACTGCTCTGAATCAGGCCATCAGATAATCTCCTTAAATCTCCCCCGGCATTGATGTTTTTTGTTTTTATTTGCTTAATATTAGTTTTAAACTAATGCAATATCTGTTTTCCATAGCTCCCACAGTGCCGGTGTATGAGAAAGAGGGTGTGACTTTGACACTGAGTTGTGAGAAACAGTCAGACTCAGGCCTGACAGTCACACTAACAGCCTCCAATTCCACTGAGTCAGACATCAGCAGCTTCACCCTGCAGGCTGCGGTGCCCAAGGTCTGTCTCATTACCTCTGCCCAAACTCACCATGTTCATCTTGTTAATCATCCACAGAGGAACTCACTAGCAACCAAGCTTTTTCTGTCGGTGTTGACTTGTGGCTGCCACAGTGCACCAACAAACAAAAAAAAAAACAGTTTGTGGCAGATTATATTTTATTTGCACATTTCAGTGCTGCATCACATACACAGATACTTTACCGTTACTGTCTCTCTATGTTTGACCGGTCTGCATCACGTGCAAGTTTTAGACCCTGTCATGTTCTCAGTGGTGGGCATCAGTGCAGTAAATAAACCTGAACAACATACGTGTGTTTTTGGTGCTTTAAACTTGAATGTTCCTTTTGATCTTCCTCCAGAGTGTCCAGTTACACATGAAGGCCCCCAGTGGGGACTTTCTTCCTGCCCGAGGCGCAGCTAAGGTGACCCAGATGGTAGTCCTCAACAACCCAAACAAGGTGGGGTTGACACACAAAGCTGTGATTCGCATTTGGCAGTAAGAGCAAGGTCAGGTCAGTCAGGAGTGTGGTCTATCCCTCGCTTATATAAAACTTTATGAAGGAAGGAGGAAATACACCCCTTCAATTTTAAATTTCTGCAGTAAAAGTTAGATCAGTTTGAAAATACAACATTGGATTGAATCTTCACACTTTATCTCTAAAACTGTGCTTAACTCCCACAAATTTGTTTATTTGGTGATGTTTGTGCCAGGTCCAAATCTTTTTTTTTTTACTCCTATCCCAGAACCGATACTAGCTGCATCTAAATCCTTATTCCTCTTCCAGGTGAACTTGAAGATGAGGGTCCGCATATCTTACACCAGCCAAGGATCAGCCTTTCAGGATACAGTCCAGATTGACTCCTTCCCTGGACTCAGCGCTGGCGGCCACTGACACTGGGCATTCGGTCAAACAACCCTATGAAAACAGTCTGTGAATGAGTCATCAGGCATCGCCCTTCACTGACAGAAAGGTTTATTCCCTCTGTTCTGCAGTCCGAGCAGCTGTGTTGTTGGGTGTTTTTATGGCTGAAGAAAACAGCTCTCTCACAGGAAATCACAGCCTCGTACATGAACTGACATCGTTTCCATCTCCTCTGGAAACCAAGCGTAAATGTGACTGATGACATTATTTAATATGGCAGAAGCTTTGGATTATGCTGGTGTAATATGAAAATACTCAAATATTTTTCTTTAATACTTTACTTTAATGTTTTTCTGGGATTTTTGCAATGACGACTGTCCACAGAAACTTTCTACCATCCAGGTTTTTAATCAGAGCTACTAAAGGTGATTGTAGTTGTTTCACTCCAAAAATATTTACTTTGTGACTCCTGTTCATCAGTATGGGCCACTAGGTCAATTGTCCTCACATGGCTCATGTTTACTCCCTTTGAAGTGATTTCCTTATATTTGCCTTTACTATTTTGGAAAGCAGCTAAACACTTACTAATGACCCACTACTATTATTAAACACTCTAATCCAGAACACTTGATTTTTCTGGGATTCCAAGACGTGAATTAGAGATTGAAAGGTGTAGGATTTTAAACACAACCCTGTGTATTGCATTCACTTGTCCTTTGTCGCTCCTGTATTTCATGCCTCATCCACCTGAATAGTTCATAGTATCCACCTCCTAATTATTTCCCCTGTGCCTTTCTCCCCTCAAGAACCGAGGTTTTCTCATTTAATGCAATTATATTTAGTTTTGGAAGCCAAGAAATTGTTTTAAATGTAAGTGGTGTAGTGATATAAACATGTTTTATCCTGACCAATATCTCCTTGCCTATTGTTTACAGGGGCTCCAGAGTTATGGTATTTTCTGAAGACTGTGTATCGTGATACAAAAAGAAAAATTATGCTCTCTACAAGATGTATATTTTACTTATTAATTTTAGGGGGCACAATTAGAAGAGTTTAAAGTCTTAAGAAAATCTCTAATACAACCCTTTGTTGTAGAAGGACAAAAAAGTGGTCTGTGAAACACACCTTCAAATAACCAGTGTGTATAACCTCAGTAATCAGTAAAACTCATCTCATAGTCATGGACCTCATTTTAAAACACTGGATGTCAGCAATGGTGCTCTAAATGGATTACAGTGCAATCTCTACCAGACTGTTTTAGATCACTACTAAACTGTTAAGAAGGACCAGGGTGAGTATCCTGACAGTTGCATCTTTAAATCTTCTGTTTCATGTCATTTTCTAATAAAAATCAGTTTTCAGAATCCTCAGCAGGGACTTGTCTTGGTGTCTTTGCTCAGTGTGTGTGTGTTAGAGGACAACACGTACATCAACGTCAGCATTTATTCACAAGCAAAAAGACCACAGTGTTCTCAAACTGTCTTTTGTTCTGCATTGGTGCCTGCATCAACTGGTCAAACTCGGAAAGATTGACTTTCTGGCTTTACAAAAAAACATTACAGAGGAATTTGAACGTCCTTTATGTTGTTGTTTTTTTTCTTTTCTTTGCTCTTGTTGGTCGATTTTTGTTTGCGTGTTATTTCAGATCTCTGTGCTGTAACATGGTTTGACTGTGACAGACACCTAAAGCATTGGCACTCAGCTGGCCCTCATCACAGCCGCAATTCATGATGAGGAGGAGAGGTCTATGCAGGGCCTGTGGAGCGTTGAGCCACCTCTTAGCGCCAACACAAGATGGAGCACTGAACCTCCCTGGATCTTGTAGTCTGCAGCTGTCTTCTCATCATTCCTGAGAGCAGAAGAACACAGGAGAGAGCATAACATAGCTCAGAGAAGACTTGCGGAGAAATAAGAACCTATTGCAGCAAAACAGCTCACGAAGGAGGAACTCACATCTGTTTTCCACTGTAGATGAGTCTTTGTTGCTGTGGGGGGATCCCTTCCTTCTCTTCCACCCTTTCTTTAATTCGCTCCACCTTCATTGACCCAAAAACACCACATTTAGAAATGATAGTGGCCTGAGAGCCTACAGTACACAGGTTAGCGTGTTGTCTTTCTATCTTACAGGAACGATTGTATTTCACCTTGTCTGTGGGCTCGATGTCGATCTCTATTTCTTTTCCAGTGAGAGTCTGAAACATAATGTTTACACAATTATACAACACCAGCTTTGGTCACATGCACACACATACAGTCTGCAACAGACCACCACAAGGCATAATTCTCAGGGGGGGGGCGACGACACACCAATCCCTTTCCACAGAGATTCACCCCTGTTACACTGAATTCTGTGGCCCATCAGATTTTGTGACATAATTAGGAAAGTCAGCTATATTGCCACTGCAAATGTTCTTAATATGGCCACAGTTTTTTGACAGTTATTAGCAACAAAAAAAATTATGTCTATGGGGATAACTGCTAGGGCAGCAACTAACGACTGCTTGCATTTTAGATGAATCAATGCGATATTTGTAATTGTTAGTCCACAAAACATCAGAAAATAATGATAAATGCGTGTCACAATTTACCAGAGCCCAAAGTGACGTCTTCAAACACAAATATATTTAGTTCACAAGGATATAAAACAGATAAAAGCTGCTAGAACCAGAGAGAGGATGGCATTTTGATCAATAATCGCCCCTAAATGATTGATCTTGTACACCGGCCGAGGACTTGGCTAACCTGCTCTGATGGTTGCATTTATGTTAGCAAGCTATCAAATAACATAGCTACCGAATGGCGAAAAGTAATTACCCAAAGAGCAGCACGTTAATAGCTAGTAGCTCTACATACTACTGAGCCAAACACAGGCAGAAATGAAAACCGGTGAGCAGAGAATAAAATACATTCAAGAAAGAATATCATAAGTTGCTGCACCCCGGCTGAAATAATAAATTAGCGAACCGGTTATTGATGTTAGCGGGCAACAGCAGCTACCACTCGGCGGTAATTGTAAGCGTAGATTTATAAAATAGTCTTACCTTTACTTTGATCAGCATGTTGAATAAACAATATACTACAATTTGACTTGATATTAACTGTTAGCTGACCAAAACACTTGATATTCTAGCGATTTACAACCTACTTGACTTCAATTGACTTCCTGTGTGCACCGCTTAACGCTCCGGACGCGACCGCGTCAAACCACATGGGGAAAAGGTGGTTCCGCTGTGAGAAATTTAAAAATCTGCTATTTCTATGTTCACAGCAGCTTTCGTATCGACAGAAATATGTAGATCCGTCGCTTTAAAAAAAACATAAAAAACTATATCTTGTCAATATCTTGCTGTAAAAGGTAAATTTTTACTCAAGAAAAAGTTAAATAAGAATTATCAAAAAATAAAAATACACTTTCATTACTGGATCATTAGCTGTCACTCATGCAAGAACATGTTAGCATTTTAATGTTGCTGTTCGCCATGGATTCTATATTTATAATTTAACTAACTGTTAAATAATCTAATATGAATCAGTGTATAGTTTTATAAACTGCTCATGTTTTGAATAAAAAAATGGATCTGTAAAATAATGAGTAATAACCTCTCAAATAAATGCAGTAGAATTAAAAAAAACTATATTTGCTTCTGAAATGAAGCAAAGTGAAGGTATGAAATGTAGTAAAGTAAATGAAAGCAAAATAAAAAATCAAAATTTTACTTAAGTACAGTACGTGACTAAATGTACTTTGTGACTTTCCACCTCTGCGTTAGTAAATTGCCAAAATGAACACGTACACTATAAATGAAAATGTGAGAATGCATAAAAACACCCCAGCATAAGTACACACTGGCCAAATGCTGCCCTGCCCTCACACAGATGTTGATCATCAAGCAAATTGGGCTGGAAGTCTACAAATTGTATCAATTCCAGCATGATCAGGATCATTCAGTCATGGTGACCAATCTCTATCTAGGTGTGACAATTGTGGCTTTTTTTGCAGCAGCTATTGCTAATGCAGGTATTCTTTGCACATGCTTCTAAAAATGTGTCAACCTTAGGTGTACTTAAGTTTTTAATGTACACGGGAATGTGTTTGCAGATATCCAAGTAGTCTGTGCAAAAGGCTCGGTAAGAATCACATGGAGGATCAACGCGGAGTTGGTGCCATATGCAGTTCGTCTCTTCCTTGGAAACTGCATGCCATCTCAGTTGGATGTTCTTTCAAGTGGAGAGGGGGTGGCACACTTTGACTACCAGTTTTCCGACTGCAAATTTAAAAGACAGGTAATGTCAGTGCTATATTCAGTTAAAATACCTTTTGGCCACTTCAGTGTCTTAATAATCTGTCCTTTCTACAGATGAAAGGAAAGCTTGTCATCTATCAAAATGAACTGACTTACAGGCCAGAAGCAAGACTTAAACCTGCAGCCTTTGTGTATCCCATTGAGTGTGTTTATAAAAGGTAAAGTATCTTTTTGAATGTATTTCTGGTTTAAAGCTAAAATGTGAGCTGAGAAAACATCCCCAATATATTGCAGACGTGAGGGGTGGGTTCCACCTTTCCTGAACCCTGGGTCAGGTGTATTAGAAGGTCAAGGCAGGCTGGTCTTCAACATGGCACTCCTCAATGGTAAGTAATACAAAATAAGGACACTCACAGCAACGATCTCAATCTCATCATTTTTATTTTCCCTACAGAACAATTAACAGGCTTAGCAACAACAAATGTCATCCCACTGGGCTCGTTCATGCCAATATGGGCTGCAGTGGAGCAGGAGTCCCATCAACCCTTGCTGCTGCTCATGGAGGACTGTGTGGCAGCCACTACACCAGTGCTGCAGCCTGACAGTCAGGTTCACCAGATCATTGGCAATAAAGGGTAGGATTCAGATACAGAAGTGTTTTCCAATGATTGTTCCTAATTAGAAGTCTTACTGCTATCTGTACATTTCTTCAGGTGTCTTTTGGAAAGCATAAGGGGAAACTCTGTGTTCCTCCCTCGTTACCATTCGTCTGCAGTCATCCTTTACCTGCAGTCCTTTACGTTTGGTCACGGAGAGGAGGTGAGAGGGTAAATGGTAACACCTACAAGGAATATGTTCATAAGAAATTTTGACTACTATTTTTGTGCTCCTCAGGTGTACATTCACTGTAAACTTGTAGCATGGGATCCTGAGGTTCTTGATGAAGGCAAGAAAGCCTGTCACTATATAAAGAGCAATGGAAGGTAATCCTGAATTAATGGAATGGGTTGACATTTTGGATAATATGTATCTGCGCTCTTGCTGAGTTGGATGAAAGGTTCTGTACTGCTGTCATGTGCACCATAAGCTTGAGCCAGGAAGCGGTTAGCTTTTTTTTTTTTTAGTTAAGATTAACAAGAAAAACTCAACACCACCACTTAAAGCTGAATTTGCTACAGCTGGGGTAATGATTTTCTAAGTCTCAGTAAGACTGAGCAAATTTCCTAAAACAGACTATTCTTTAGATCAAGTCCTGTGTTTATGTAAAACTTAATTACTGCACACTTTGGCTGCACTACATTTGAGATAATTTACTCCACCACATTAATCTGATATTTTAGTAACCGCTTGCACAAGGTTTCCTTAAATGACTATTCAACTCGACATGATCTGTATGTCAAATATAAACAGCAAATGTTATTTGAACATCTGGGATTTTTAATAGGAGAGCATGCATTCTGCTTTTTTTTTCTCCAAGTGTTTATCAACACTATGCTGGTATAATGACCCTCTGCGATTTCTCCTTAGATGGGAACTACTCGATGACCCCCTTCAGAGCTCCATCTGTAGTTGCTGTGATTCAACCTGCAATTCCCGCTCCAAAAGAGAATCCGTGTCGGGTATCACTTCTGCCAACTCTGCTGGGTTTTTTTGATATTGGTATTCTTCCTCCATGCAATTTATCATTTTCCCTCCCTCTCTCATGTCAGAATCCCACAGCTTTAGTCACAGTTCTGTGTTGGGACCCCTTTTCATCGTCGATCCGTCTGATTTTGAGGCCCAAAACCTACCAAAGGTGTCGGATGCAGTGGACTCTCAGGTGTAATAAGCAATAACATTTTAATGGAATTTGTTCAACGCTGGACAAAATGATTAAAGTTCTCAACATTTTCTGAACAGGAAAGCCAGTCTAAGCTGATGACTTGACGATGCACCACAAACAGGCCAGTAGCAGATGACGTCAAGTCTCCTGACTTACAAGGCATTGGGGCATCAGCTTTGTGATCTCGACTTGATAGTCTGCAGATTCATTTGAATGGTCATACATGAATCTTAAACCCTCCATACAAATAAACCTGATGTAAACTGCTAAGATTCTACTTACTGCCTCATTTTATTTTAAAATGTGATTTTTGTCCTGCTTATACTGGCACGAAACACCAGCCTACGGCACTTGATACTGCAATTGATAAATTCACCATAAAGTCGTCACAACTACAGGGAATGACCAGGAAATGTAACCAGACCTTACTACAGGTGCTGGTCATATAATTAGAATATCATCAAAGTTGATTTGTTTCAGTAATTCCATTCAAAAAGTGAAACTTTAATTCCTTTTAATTTTGATTAACTGACAACTAATGAAAACCCCGAAATCAGTATCTCTGAAAATTAGAATCGTGCCACACTCTAATCAGCTAATTAACTCAAAACACCTCCAAAGGCCTTTAAATGGTCTCTCAGTCTAGTTCTGTAGGCTACACAATCATGGGGAAGACTGCTGACTTGACACCTTGCATGAGGAGGGCAAGACACAAAAGGTCATTGCTAAAGAGGCTGGCTGTTCACAGACCTCTGTGTCCAAGCACATTAATAGAGAGGCAAAGGGAAGGAAAAGATGTGGTAGAAAAAAAGTGTAGACGCAATAGGGATAACCGCACCCTGGAGAGGATTGTGAAACAAAACCCATTCAAAAATGTGGGGAGAGATTCACAAAGAGTGGACTGCAGCTGGAGTCAGTGCTTCAAGAACCACCACGCACAGACGTATGCAAGACATGGGTTTCAGCTGTCGCATTCCTTGTGTCAAGCCACTCTTGAACAAGACACAGCGTCAGAAGCGTCTCGCCTGGGCTAAAGACAAAAAGGACTGGACTGCTGCTGAGTGGTCCAAAGTTATGTTCTCTGATGAAAGTAAATTTCCTTTGGAAATCAAGGTCCCAGAGTCTGGAGGAAGAGAGGAGAGGCACAGAATCCACGTTGCTTGAAGTCCAGTGTAAAGTTTCCACAGTCAGTGATGGTTTGGGGTGCCATGTCATCTGCTGGTGTTGGTCCACTGTGTTTTCTGAGGTCCAAGGTCAACGCAGCCATCTACCAGGAAGTTTTAGAGCACTTCATGCTTCCTGCCGCTGACCAACTTTATGGAGATGCAGATTTCATCTTCCAACAGGACTTGGCACCTGCACACAGAGCCAAAGCTACCAGTACCTGGTTTAAGGACCATGGTATCCCTGTTCTTAATTGGCCAGCATGAACTCGCCTGACCTTAACCCTGTAGAAAATCTATGGGGTATTGTGAAGAGGAAGATGCGATACACCAGACCCAACAATGCAGAAGAGCTGAAGGCCACTATCAGAGCAACCTGGGCTCTCATAACACCTGAGCAGTGCCACAGACTGATCATGCCACGTCGCATTGCTGCAGTAATTCATGCAAAAGGGGCCCCAACTAAGTATTGAGTGCCGTACATGCTCATACTTTTCATGTTCATACTTCTTCTAAAAATCCTTTTTTTGTATTGGTTTTAAGTAATAGTGTAGGCGGTTACGGCTCAGACTACTGCCAGTTGTCCATGTGGTGTGAAATGTCCAACTTGAAAACCCTGAACTTGTCTTGGTTTATCACTTGCAATTTGTTAGCAATAAATGTACAATTAAAGGACCACCTAAATTATTTCTGAGGTTAGATTCTCATTTTCAATGAATTGGAACGTGGGCTGAGGGATTTTAGAGGATCAAGCGTCTGAATTGGGACACAGCCATTTATCTTTTGAATACATTCCAATTCTAACATTACAGATAGTAGAATTGGCACAGATCATGTATGAGATTTAAGACAACATGTAAGTGGTCCAACACAATGTTTAAAAATAATAAATGTGTATTTAATTAAAAAAACAAAAGACAGTTCTGACTAAAGAATCACATTTTGGCCACTTTTACCCGAAGCAGAATGTGACATGGGGTTTCTTTACTTTCTGGTCATAAATATAAATCAGTGGAGAGGGTTTACTTATATGAGATCACTGACAGAACTGCAGCTTCACACTGACATAGCTCATATACTGCAACGCTTTGTGTGGAAATACTAGTTGTCACATTATGCACAACCTGTTTTCATTGACTGCAGCAGTTTGCATAACTGTGGGATTCTTGTATGCTATTATAATATAAATTGTAACATAAACATGATACACACTTAAAAGTATATGTGCCTTATAAGCCTTTCCAGGCTTATTGTAATTAGGCTGATGGCTACTGCACCTGAGACTGTTGTCACGCACCAGGTGAAAGAGGTTTTCTTGATTAATGTCTCTCAGTCAGAATGAATAAAAACACCCACAGCATTAGAGCAAGTGTCCAGCCATGATGGTGTTCTTCTGGCAATGTGTGTTGTTTTTGAGCCTAGTATCTGCCCTGTTGGTACATGCAGGTAATTTTGCAGCAGAATGCACAACATTTTCTTTTCTTTAATTTCAATTTATCATCTTGAACTGAAACTTGAGGTTTTTTGTGTTGCATTCCTTCAAAGACATGAAGCTAGACTGTAGGCCTGATACGGTGACGCTGGTGTGGACAGAGAATAGATCCCAGGCTGATACCTCGCTCTTTCGTCTGGGTAACTGTTTCCCCACCAGCTTCTCGCCCAGGGGAGCTGTTTTCAGTGTGGATGTCAATAATTGTAACTTCAAGAGACTGGTGAGTAACATACTCCTACTAGCAAACTGAGTCAACTATATCTTCTACAGCTTGGTGATGTTTGTATCTCTTAGGTTACTGGGAGTCATCTGTTGTACACCAATGATCTGACCTACATTTCCTCTCCCGATTCTAACATTCTCCCGTCCACTCACCTAGTTGTCTGTGAGTATGAGAGGTGGGTGTTTATACTATGTTGAGTGGTAAACTGCCTTGTACTGGAGTTTTACAGATGCATGTGTTTAATGGCAACAGCTGCTGTACTATAATCTGCTTTATTTTGTGCAGGCCCAGGGACTGGTACCCTATGATGTATTACCCAGAGTTTAATACATATGGTGAAGGGGATCTAGAGTTTCACATTGGACTAATGAATGGTGGGTTTAAACATGACCTCCCTATAAATTTCCAAAGGGACTCCTGTAATATAATTACTTTTTTTTTTCCCCTCCCCTATTTACTCATGTAGCTGACTTCTCAGGACCTGCTACATCTACAAGTTTTCCTCTAGGCTCCTTAATTCCAATCATGGCTAGTGTGGTGCAGAAGTCTCATCAGCCATTGCTGCTGCTTCTTGAGGAATGTATAGCAACTAGCACACCAGAACTGCATCCTAAAAGCAGTATATACCCAATAATCACCAATAAGGGGTAACCTTGTTATACTGGCAATAAGCACTACTTAACTGAACTTTTTCCCCCTCCAGATTGAAAGTAACACAATTTCATGTTCTTTAACATACAGATGTCTTGTGGACAGTAAGATCTCACGCTCAAAATTTGAACCAAGGCAAACATCATCAGAGATTCACCTATCCCTTCAAGCTCTTAGGTTTGCTAATGGAGAAGAGGTAAACTGGCTTTATTCTAGTCAACTCAAGTTCACTTTTTTCCTGTAAATACTAGAAACTTTATGCCTTGCAACATTAATTATCTCCTCAACAGGTATTTATCCACTGCAGCCTTGTGGCTTGGGATCCGTTAGGTCTTACTAACACCAGGAAGGCCTGCTACTATGTCAAAGATCATGGGTAAAACTCTTTAAAACTGCAGCAGTGTCTGAATGGAATAATTTTCCCAGTGAGCCGATCAGATGGGCCAGTTAAACATTGAAACACAAAGTTTCAGCCACTTGCATCATCTCGGACTCTGGATTCAATCAGACTTCTATCATGAGAAAATTAACCAGTTGTTGGCGATCTGGGAATTATTTGCTATTAAAATCTCCTTCTCATCCAATCTTCACAATCTCAGTTGGAAACTGCTGGACAATTCTGCACATAGCAATCTTTGTGACTGCTGCGAATCCAGCTGCACATCCAGGAGGGTGAGAAGTATCAGATCAGGTATCTGCGCTGCTGCTGTATTGAACTGATTTCCTTGTCCTGTACTAAACTGGCCCCTAAAACTTTCCCTTTCTCTTTAAATGCAGAGAAGCATGGAGTAGTACAAAAAGCAGTCCTTGGACCACTTACCATCACCATGAATTCCTGAGGTATGCTGAAAGTAAATTTTACACAGCAATATAGCTGTGTATCCCCAACTAAACTTTTTTTTTTTTTTTTTTTTCAAACAGGAATGGCTGCCTTATGGACTGGTTTCCTTAATCTGAATTTGGTTTTATTCTTGGTTTTGGAAGCTTCTGAATGTTTCATGTCTGCCTGAATTTATGATTGTAACATGGCCATTAAAGATTTATCAAAACCAATTTATTTCATGTAGCTCTTTTCAAACATGTCTGCATAATTGTATTCCCAGTTTCACTCACATTAATGAACACTTGTGAGGTGCCACAAAGTGAGTATTTCCATTTTATGTGTCATTTGTTGCAAAATTAAGTGAAGGTATTTGGGGGGGGAGTATCCTTTGATATTGAGATTATCAATATAAAATATGAATCAACTAAATATGTATTCTGGATTAAATCTAGAGTAGGCCTGGGGGGGGGGGGGATGACATTTTCTGTGCTAAACATCTTAACATCAAGCATGTTATGAAAAACAGTGGATTCGACATGTATTTCCAGACACATCCAACATTTCTAGAAGAAAACTAGAGCCAACAAGTTCTCAACACATTTTTGGCCCATTGGTGGCCTACTTAAAAAGCCGTCTTAATCATGTTAAACCTTTGCCAGATGCTATCTGCGCATGGGTATTGCTGATACAATACTTTTTACATGTGTTCTAGTTTATGTGGACCCCCCCCCCCCCATCAAATCTGTATTTGAGAGAAATAAAAGGTAGGATGTGGGCTTACCAAATCCAAACATTAGCTGCATAATAAATCAATCTGTCACATTTTTTATAATAGTCTGTGGTCTACATACAATCAGCTTAGTTACTAGCCTATGCTGGGAAATGTGACGGGCTGCAGTGGCTCACTTGGAGAAGCTCCTCACACAGCTGTAGCACAAGCATGACTTTGACAGGTGGAAGAAGTAGTTCCCATCAAAGGAGTATAATTGGACCATCCTGGTGACGGTAAGATATGGATACACACACTCACTCCAAATTACTGAGTTTAGATATCGATCCTTTTATGAGTATTGATCCTACAGCAGGAAACGTCGGATTGTGAAATATCGATATTTTAGTATCGGTCCGCACATCACTAATGTTAATTTGCGCAGATGCGCGACCAGAAAGGGCGGGACGGACGTCTGATGCCGACTGAAGTTACTCCTTCAACTACTTCTGATCAGAGTAAGGAGAGCAACGAGGAATATAAACAAAAATGAGAAGGCAGATATTTTGTAAGCCAACAAAGTATTCAGTATGTTATGTATCCAGCCAATGCGGACAAGTGAAATTTCCCCAGTTTAAGCTAGCTAGCTAGCACATACTAGGGCAATAAAACAACCTGTTAGCATTGTGGACGAGTAACTTTGTGTTCAGTTTTGAATGCTGTAATTACCTAACTGTGCTGATTTGTCCTGGTTGCCTCATTGCAGAATTAATAATGAGCAAATGGTTGAGCTAACTTTTGTTGTGTTACTTTGTGCATGAGTGTGGATGTGACACATTTATTACATTACTTATAGTGAAAAAAACATTGTCAGGACCAATACTAAAAGTATGTGACCAGGGGTGTCAACATACTTATGGTCATAGAGTGTAATATTTAATGTTCCACATGATCTCATTTGTGTATGGTAAGCTTGTGTTTGTTTGCAGAGGAGTAAACCCACAGGACTAAAAATGGACTGGTTCCACTGTAATCAGTGCTTCACAAGGAGAGGGTCGAAGTTTGTTGTGGCCAGCTGTGGCCACATCTTTTGCGGAGCGTGCATTCAATCTAGTAAGACAATTATATACTATCTGCTCTGTGTGCTAAGTAAATTTGCTTCCCCATCACAGCTGAAATAAGATGACGTTTCACGCTACGTATGCCTCTTCGGGGCTTTACAGTGTGAATATTTTCGCTTTTGCATCAAAAATAGATATGTGCATACTGGAAAAAATATTTACTAGCAATTTATGAATGTGAGAGTAAAGATTACAACATACTGTAATGACAAGTTAGTACTTAGCATGTTAATGAGAGACTAATCACCATTGTAGACCATTTCTCTTGCACAAGGATTTAATGAACCCACAAAATGAAACTACTGTGATTATGTGTTTTCCTACAGGGCAGTGCAGCGTATGTGGAGCCAGCTGCAGTTATCTGCCCATCACAGATGAGGTTGGTGAGTTTATCTTCACTGCAAGTTACTGCCTGATGCCACCAGCAGAGAATGGCCTTATTTTACATAGCCAGCTTATTATAACGGCACACACTTTCTATTTCAGATGAAACCACAGGAAAGGGTGTTTTTCAAGGACCCCATGAAGCTCATCCAATCACGGCTGGAGAACATATCACAGGTCTGTGTCTTCTGTGCAGCATTCACTCCGAGCTCCCTCTCCGCTGCTCTTTTTAATTGCTTTTTTTGGAAGTAAAATGTCAGAGCACTCAGTCAGTTAATTAGCCAGTCAGTGTCGAGTCATTCAACAAGAGATTGCTTCAGTTAGTGATATTTGACAAGATCAAGAGTATCACTTCAGGATCAGTATGCTATACGGTAGTTTCGGAATCCCTAAGATACTCCAAAAGCCAAAGTTGATGTACATAGTGTTTTACTTTCACTGAAAGATTATTTCAACGTGAGGTCTTGTTCTTTAGATTGCGCTTTTTCAGAAGACACAGATGGAGAGAGTCACAGCCCACTTCAAGCGTAAGTCTGTTGAACTGGAACGACATCTGAAGGAAGTCACTGAGCAGGGTTACAGGTGAATTTAATATTTGTTATTGGTCCTCTGTAGCTGTGTAAATAAAACCTACAATTGTGACGCTATTCTTCCCACGTTTGTTATCACAAGGCAACTCTCCGAGCTGAAAAGAGAGAATGCTGACTTAAAAAAGCAGCTATCAGAGCTGAAAAGAGAGACTGCTGAGTTGAAAAAGCCACTTTCTCAGAGGAGGGTAAGTGTTTTACAAATCTAATAAAGAAAAAGTTGCCAAAAATGCCAATGTTCAGGTAATAAGTTACATATCTTTTTGCCACAGGTTTCTCCAGGACCGTTTCAAATACATGGGTAAACCAAACAAATTTACATTTTCGGACTATCATGTTTAATAACACACTTTCCAGTATTAAATTTTTTTGATTGTAGTAATTACTTTTTCTCTCATATATATATATATATATATATATATATATATATATATATATATATATATATATATATATATATATATATATATATATATATATATAGTACTCAAAGGATGTCACTCCCTGTGGCTGTCACCTCTCCAGGTAATACCAGTTATTTAAGCTGAATTGTTACAGTTAATGTTTTTAGTGTTGGTTGTCCATTTCAGATTTTTGTGATTCAAGTTGATGAGAAGTGTTCATGTTTTCTTTTACCAGTTACCCCTCGTTCAAGAACTATGAGGTATGTATTAAGTTGTAATACTCTGGTGGAATACGCTATGTACTATAAATATGCTTTATAACAACATGCTGTCCTGGTCTTAGTCACTTAGGCTCTGCAGAGTCACAGGGCTGGGCCAGAGGTCCTAGTCTATTCTCCCTCACAGTAAGTCTCATAGTCATATTGGCTCCATGTAACGTTTTATAGACCTACTGTAAATTAATGTTATGTTAAAAAGTATTTCCACAAAAGTATGTATCTGTTCTTAGATTATGTTATCCACAATACTTACACTTACTCAGTTGGAATGTATCGTTATTCAGTTCACAATAGAAAAAATCTTAACTGAACAACTTCTGTAAATTTTACCGGAGATTTCCAGGAGGTTTCATCACACTGTCTTACATAGCTGTTTAACTTGAGATGTCATCTCCATGACTACTCCATTCACTGAGATGTGGTTGAAACCTCCCGAAGAAGCTATAAGTGGAGCTTCAGTGAAGAGTTAATACTCATTAGATATTAAACTACAAACTTATACAGCATTTTAGAGCAGAAATTTGTTTTTTACCTTTTGTTTCATAAAATAAAGGAAACACCTCCTCTTTCTGTTTTTTGTCAGACTCCTGGATCAGTGACGTCTATTTCTAGCCATAGTTCTCTTCATGAACGTGTACGCAGTAAGTGTGGTTTCAAACACGCTTTTGTAACTCTCCACTTGTTTCTGTGGTTAAACTGGATACACTATATTTCATCAACTCAGAAATGAAAAGAATTCTATTTTTAATTAAAATACCTTCCACCTGTCTGTTTCAAAAAGGAACGCCCACATCCTTTAGCACCCCTACAAGGTAAGAAATGCTTTCCAAGTTATTGCATCACATTTCTAAATATGCTTGATACGAAGATTTTCATATTGTAATAGCTGAGTCTGTCCATTTCTGTCTTCCTCAGAACTCCGCATCAGACTCAAGTTTCCCAGCTCCAGTTTATAAGTGGAATATCAATACATTCACCCAGGCATTAATGAAATGGCCCCTAACATATCTGAGGACAATTTGGTTACTTACATTCATCAGGACTGCCATGTCTGATGCAGATTCATTTTTCTACATCGTTGAGTACAGGTATTTTATTTGTTCAGCTTACTGATGTTACAAGAGGAATTAACTTGTTGGTCATTGGTTGACTTATGGTCATGTTTTTATGTGACGCAATGGACTGTAGCACTGTGTCCAAGACACATTTCCCTTCTGTGACAATAAAGTTTACTCTACTCTCCCTCTAGTTTTTCTTCCTGTAATATTGTTAGCAGCAATTTATATTAGAACTATTTCTGCAAATTAATTTCACGCTAACTTGCCTTTTGCTCACAACACGTAATGTACATTGATGAAAAAAAATACATTTGATCGGTCAGAATCAGTTGGAGTCATTGCAGCACACAAGAACAGCATGAACACATGATTATAAAGGCAAATCCTTTACTGGTTTCCAGTGACACAATTGTGTGAGTGAGAATTTTTTTCAAACAGGAAAAAATACATTGAAAACATCTGCAAAGGAAGACACCAATTGTTATGGACATTTACCCACAGCATGAGTTGCATTAACTTTTCATTATTAATAGAATGATAAAACAGTGGTGCTCATCGTTTTATCAACATTCTGGTAATCTTACCTTTGTCCAGATATTTCTAATGAACTAAACTGTGACTCCATTTAAAGCCCACTCCACGCCCTGTGTGTCAACTAAGTACTACTATCTGTATGTATAGAGTTTTTTTTTTTTGTTTGTGCTATAATTCACAACAGACTCAACGGAAAGATAATATTTCTTTGGATTCAAACTCTTTACTACTTATGCAGTACATGGACCCCTATCAGTTATCATGTCTAGTTTGTCTATATTATAATCCATCAAGTCACAGCCTACACCTATTAAGACAAGAGATGTAAAAATACTGACTGAATCAATGAGTGCAAATATAAATTGAAGTTGGCAATTCTGTCATCTGTATGATGTTGATGTGATTGATGCTTTCTTAGTACATTTAGCTTTTACTGTTAAAAATGTGCAGTCAAATGCAAATAGTAAATCAAGTATTACAGCAGAGTGTCTACAGAGAATGGGGGAATGTGTTTCAGAAATATGTTGACAGTAGTATAATTATATGTACCATGCTGTTTTCAAAAGGCATGACGATAGGTTTCGAGTGTTAAGGGGTCGAGAATGACACAGTTTAGTTCGGAACTCTTTTTGTTTTTAAAGAATTGGGTGTAATGAACATAATGGCAGCAGGCTCTAAAACCAAAGTGCAAGATGTTAATTTAAAATGTACATGTCCAGTGTGATTTTCATGACAAGGAATTATTGGCTGTAAAGGAATGGATTACACACAGTGATCAGTCAACAAATTCATCAGCAAAGACATTTTTCCAGAGCAGTTACTTATCTGCTGTAGTCCGGTACCAAAAGTACAACCTGTTTAAATTATACTGCTACCATAGCATACGAAAAAGATAGTACTGATACCTAAACAAAAATAATAAGATCAAAAAATATAGCAAACCAGTGTACAAGTTACTGTCCTATTTACAGCAACACGGGCAGCACAATTATAATTCAAGTCCAAATATATTAGGATAAGCAGGAAATGCAGCATATTATAAAAAACACAAACCTCACTTTGGGCTTGTACTGGGAAGACTGGATGTTACAAACCTGCCTCAATTAAAGCAATTTAAACCAAAGTAATAACTATGCTTGTTGGTGCAAAAGGATGTGAGGCGCACTCCTCCAACTTTTACAAATGTTCTTAAGTCTGGTTCCAGTGTCTTAATCAGCAACAATAGGTTCCTGGTCAGTCTCTCCGACATCCTGGGCTGCAAACCAATCTCGCACTTGCTGGTAGCTCATTCTTGATTTCTTGCATAGTGAGTCAAGGTCTTTTTCATTTAGTGAGCCCGTCGAAAGGTAATATGTTACCAATGGCTGGATATCTGGGGAATCTGTACTATTTCCATTTGCTTGAGATTTTCGTTTGCGGCTACCCCCAGCCCGAGTAGATGTCCCAGAGCCACTTCCGTTAGTTAAACCACTGCTGTTTTGCTGGGCTGCAAGTTCTGCCAAGAACTTGTCGCGGACCCCCTTTACCCAGCGCAGCTGACCATTTTTAACAGCATACCGCGTGTCCCCAAACCACTGAATAACGTCTGCCCGGGGTAAACCTGTAAGCTTAACAAGCTCAGTGTAATCTTCACTCTTGGGCCACTGGCACTGCAAGAAGTGTTGCTTTAACACATCCAACTGCTCCTTGGTCTTTCTTGGTCGCCCAGCAGGAGTGAGGGCAGGGGATGTGGATGAGGAAGCCCCTGAGACGTGCAAGGGCGTTTGTGAAGGACTGGCTTTGGCTGAGTGGACTGACTTCTTTGATGTGCTGATGCTCTTTGAATGCAGTTTATTAGGCGAGGCAGTCAGTGGTGGGCTGCCAGAAGGGGAAGAGTAGGGAGAGGATGTCAATATAGCTGATGGTTCACGTAGAACATCTGGCTCAATCGTGCAGGTCTTGGTCAGTTGTAAGGGTTGTTCTTCACTTTGTTCCTCGTCTTTAAAACTGTCCCCATCAGCAGAAAGCTCCTCTGTAACATCCAACCCTTCTGCCTCAAGGACTCTTTCCCCAAATGCTTCCAGGCTGTTTGACAAAAAGGTCTGAAAGAAATGTGAATTTCTAATCCCATTGCTACGGGCTCCCTCGTGGCCCTTTGCCCCATTTAGCTGACGAGTATTTTGAGAAATAAGAGGAAGAGGTTGAATTTGTTGGTCAGGTTTACCTCCTACTGCAGTGTTTTGAGAGCAGTTCTGGGCTGCTGCCAGGCTTCCTCGGCCAACCCTAAGCTGGTACCGGCTGTCACTGAACCATTTCCGAATGTCATTACGGCTCAGCCCAGTTTCTTCCTGCAAACGTCTAAGCTCTGCCTCTGCAGGCCAGTTCTCCCTCAAAAAGCTCTTTCGAAGGGCAGCGAGCTGAGCTTTAGACTTTTTGTAGCGGCCATGACGATGCTGTTGTGAAGATGACTCTGAAGGGTCAACGGAGACATCAGCTGCTGTGCTTGCTGGTGTGTCTGCTGGTGGGCGGTAGAAGTACGAATCCTGAGGAGGTGGGAGGGTGGAACTGAAACATGGGGCAGTGGGTTTGGCTGGTTTATAGGTATCTGGTGACTCACACTTTGGTTTCTTCTTCTGAGGGGTGAAACTGGAGAGAGCACACTCTACTTCTTCACTGTCCTTATCCTCAATTACCAATTCCTCACAACTTCTGCTCTTGCTATTCATTTTGACTTCCTCATTTGTTTCAGTAGAGTCATCGCAAAGCTCAGGCACTGCCAGCTTCCGCCGTGTCTCCTCTATTTCCTCTGAGGACCAGCTGATACCATATTTAATTCTCTGCACCATAAACCACACCTTAACTTTGTCCAGTGGCAAGGCACACACCCGGGCCAAGGTGTTAACCTCACGGGATGATGGGTACGGAAATAAGTTAAAGGCTTGGACCAGCTCTGGGATTGTGTCAAGTTCACGGGTTTGATCCGACTGTGTCCATACCAATTTCAGACCCTCTGACACTAGAGGCAGGCACACAACGGAGTTGTGGTTGGTGGTGAAACTAGCCACACCACTCACGTTGCCTTCAGCTGGGCTGGCAGACTGGCGCAAATCCTTGGAGGAGCGTTTACCTTCAAGCTTTCCTTCACATTCTGTCTTTGTTATTTTCCCTTCAAAGCACTCCTTCACGCTCATAAGTAGTCCATTTCTGCCATTATGTTCACTGTACGTTTCCATCTGGGATATCAAAATAGGCTCTTTCACCTAGAAAAAAAAAAAACAACACACAAAAATACTGATTTAGCTGCCGATGTTTTGTTTTGTTTGTCTCAACTGCCAAACTGTTTTCACTTAACGGGTAAGGTCAATGTTAAGGAGAAGGAAATTTTCTTTCTTGGAGGAGTTCAGCTAAGAGTAGCGACTATGTTTTAAGAACTTTTTGTTCACATTCATTCTCAAAGTCAATTATCTGACAGCTGTTTCCCCTCCCCCTCTACTTGGCACTCCTAATTCTGAACTCCCAATGAAACTAGTGATACTCTGTCCAGACTGGGTTCCCCTCCCCCAGAGTGTGGGGACTGACTTTTGTTTTGTGTGAGTGGGGGGATTGGTCGCAAAGGGTGGGAGCGTGGGGAAGGGGGATTTATGAGAAATCCATCACAGTCTACATTTCTCACCCCTTCCCAGTCAGGCTTTGTTCCACTTCCAAGTTCTCGGAACCGAAAGTTAAGTGTAGCCTCTTCCCAAAGGCAGATACCACAAGAGAAACCTGTGGAAGGAGAAAATTAGTTGCATTAATCATACTGAAATGTAAGTCTACGGACACTATTCCTTATGAGAAATGGTTTGAAAAAGTAACATTGTTGAGCAACAGGTGTTAAGCCAACATTTTACAATGAAAATTGGCAATTAGAAGGCTATAGGAAATGGAATTGTGATTCAGATACTAATTGATTATTTCCCCCCCCATTGCAGTCATTACCTAATGATATGAATCCAGTGTTTGTTATTACTGACTGGACAGTGTCTTATAGTTACCATGTACTCGTCATTTAGGAGTTGTTCTTTATTTGGGACAGCACAGGAAATGTTGCGCATTTGGTTGGGGTTATGTTAGTCTACCCAACGCCATGACCAACGTTTAAGGTCGCTTTAGCCACACAAGAAACGTCCAAGCCTACCAAAGACATTAGCAAACAATTATGAAATCACTGTATTCGTCATTCGTGACACATTGAAACCCACGGGGATGAGATCATGTGGTGGCCTCACCCGGTTTTGATGTTTTACTTTAAATGCGCTGTAAGAGTTTAGACATAGTATCTTTGGTTAAGTCTAACAAAAAGCTATAAAAGTTGCTCACTGTGCCTGTGGCGATAGCAGGTCCTGTGAATCCCCCCCTTTATGGCGTACTAACTAAAACGCTTCACACTGCACAGGCGCACTTCGCCGTCAGACACGCTTCAGTGAAACATAAAAATAAACTTACCGAGAATGCCTAAGCAACCTTTTATTCGCGAGGTCCGTTTGAGCGAAAAGAAAACAAATGACTCCCAGAGTTTCCACTCTGCCCCTCCGCTTTTTATGGCCGAAGTTTAGAAGAGGACCAAGGAAACAATACCGTCCGTCTGTCTGTTTGACCCTTGTCTTATTTATCAAGCACCTCGACGGATTACGGTCGGGTACAAAGATGCGAGGCGACCAAGTTTGTCGCCTTTCTCAGTAGTTCAGTCGTCGGGTAAATCCTGCCGTAGAGGGCACAAATCGCTCAATCCGCGAGATATATAGGTTTGGATTTGTGTAACCCTCGCTTCGTCCCCCTCGGTCCATCCGTTGTTGCTTTTGTTCTTTAACTGAGAAGTGTTTTCCCTGTCCGGCCAGATCGAGGCGAGGCGGAGCCGAGGACCAGGAAGCCCAGAAGGCCCAACTGACTCCTCCACAGTGACGGCGGGGTGGGTGTGCCAGTCTGGGAGAGCGGGCCATGGATTGGAGGGAGGAGGCGCCTGTATTATAAATCCGTGGCAGTAGGCTAAACATTTTCACGTCAACCCCCCCGCCCCCCCGTCCAACCAGGGACAAACAAACACCAGATATGATTTATAACAATAACCACTGCCTTCGTCCAACTCACACTGTCCTAACTTAAGAGCAGTAAGTAGTAAGTAAGGAAACCCCCCCTTGTAGCCTACCTCAAGACCCGTGGAGGTCCTTGTACCAAATGTATAGAGCTTCTGAGTGCTTAGCACTGAGGACACTGTTTTCTGGAAACGTGGGCCTTTCAGCAACATCGGAGAGGTTGTACATTGAAAAATGTAACACATTATGAGATTCTGCTAATTTCACTCTCGGGAATATTTAACAAGATTTGGGTCAATAGATAACTAAATAAAGACAGTAGGTTGTAATAGTTGGGTAATACATTTTAAAATTGAACATTTAATAATAAAATTTTAAAAAATAAGAAAAATCCAAATAATTGACCTCATTATTTCTAAAACCATGGCTACGACTGTGTATCAGTTCCCAGAATCTCATAGATATTAAGATCCAGAGTGGTTTACATGTACTGAACCAAAGTTCTAACAAAAAATAGTTGACAGCCTGTTAGATTTTTCTTTGTGTTATGAACAAGATACAATCAACAGTGGTACTATGTCCTTGAGCAATGTGCTGAATTTATATCTGCTTCAGACATGATGAAGCCAGCTGTATTTTACTGATCTCAGTCAGTGTTAGAATATAGAAAAGATGTAGATATCTCTCTTCAAGGGATTCCACATATCTTTGCATCAGTTTGGAGATGCTATCACTTTTCTTATTTAGCAAAAAGGAATGAGAAGAACAGCAGCGACTTAATATTTTTTTTATTTAAACAGTTGTTACTTAGCTGGTCACATACAATGTGTAATATATAATATTAAAATATTAGTGTTGTGTTATGATATTGTATACTGCTTAAGAAAATACATCACATGTAGTAATCATAAATTCACATTGTGTGGCTTCACCCAATGCAGACATTAGCGTTAATGTTACATACAGGGAATATGCTATAAGATCCTTCATGTTTGCTCCAAACTAATGGTATTCATTAAGTACTCAAATAGGAACGGAAGTATATAGGCACTTAATATAACTACGCCTTCAAAAAATAGTGTTGTCTGTCTAAATTATTTGGCTCTTGTCACTCCTCAGCCATGAATCTGAAAGCAATGACATGACAACTATAGGTTTAGCTAGAATTTGGCCCATGTTGTGGAAACATGGTTTGGTACTGCCACTTCGGTACTGATATAGGAAATGTTTAGAACCGGCTGTTTGCCAGGGTGAGCACAAAGCGTGGCAGGCGTACGAAAGAAGGTACAACAGCTGACAGCCAGGAGAGATATGGGACCTGGGTCAGGAGGAATTTTAGGGAAGTGTAATCAGCTACACTCCGTCCTGGAAGTAAATAGAAAAACAACATATTAGAATTATGTGATTGTAGATTATATTGAGTTCAAATCTAAAAACTTTAAATAAATAAAAAACTTGAGCTTTGAAATAAAAAAGCTGATACAAACGTACCATCAACATCTTGTATCCCATAGCGCCTTGCCAGGTCACAAGTCATGAGTATTTTCCCAGTCAGCGACATCAGATTTTTTTCTTTCAAGCAGAAAGAGAAATGTAAGCTTAGTTTGCAAATATAAACAGTTGAATACTTCTCAGCAATAAAATCAGTTTCTGTAGGCATGTTAAAATGAACAGCCTGTATAGATATGTGGACAGAGTTAATGTTATGCTCACTTCTATAAAGCCTTTATGTCTTGCATTCTCCACTAGCACAATGTAGCGTGACAAGTGTATATGTATATATACATCTATTTCCTGTCAACTCTACAGTAACATTACCGTTTACTTTTCACAGTTGGCTTATACATATTGTTGATAGTATTTATCGTTTGTTTTTGTAAATAGGGTTTTGATCATTTTGATAATGTCTCTGTGTATTATGTCTGATAATTTCTATTGGATAACCATTTAGCAATGTTACTAAAGTTAGTCACACAGTATAGTACTAACGTTATGAAGCTCCTCCAAGCACTCAGTGTAAAAAAAGAGCACTAGCAACTTAATGTTGGCTTGCTAAGCTGTGAAAATCAGTCTAACGTTTGTACCATACTTAGTGACTAACTTTACTAACGCTGCTAAACGGTTATCTAAGACAGGGAGGTGATCACTTTATACAAAAACAAATAGTAAATATTATTAAAGCTATGGTAGGCAGTTTATTTCAGAAGTTCATTTTGTTATATTTGTTAAAATTGTCTTAACAGCATGACAGCAATCAATAAATCATATGTCCAGACACAAAAATTAAAACAAAACTGGTATCTGTGGCTGTTGCAGGACTGTAATAAACATGGACAATCATTAAGTTCTGTCAACATTAAATCACTGGCTGGCCTAAGCGAAGTAGAAGTAACTCTACCTTACTGTAGAGTTGAAAGGAAGTAAACAGGTAGTTCATAACACAGATATATTTGACTACATTGTGCAATATCATCCTACCTTTTGCCAGGTTGACGATGCACTTCCCACTCAGTTCTGTGGTTTCTCCATTGGCAAATACATCTTTAAACTGAGGAAAAGAAAATACAGGAATTTAGCAAAAAACCTAAGTAGCTACCATGCATACAGATTTACTGCTAGAGAAGAGTCTACCTTAGAATCTACAGGGTTTGTTGTGTCTTTCTCCAGTACAAACTGAGACACCAACTCTGTTTGTACCGCTCCTGGCCACAGGCTGACAGAAGCCACACCCCTACTTTTGAGCTCAATAGCCATGTCTGCTGCCAGCCTGTCACACTGTAAACCACAAAAAAAAACCGTGTTATTTTTTTTTTTTACGTTGACCTAATTAGACAGTCCTTGAACTTGCGTTAAATAAGATATGTTTCTTGATAACATAAATCTGGGACTTAATGAGATGAGAACTTACTGCGGCTTTACCAACGCCATATGGAACATTGAACAGATACCGCAGCCCTCCCATAGATGAAATGGTGACTATCAAACCCCGACCTCGTTCTACCATCAACCGGGATGCATAAACTGAGAAGAAATAGTGGCCCCTGCCAGAGAAATAAAAATATTTCCACTCAGTTTTAAAATACCTCTAATAAAGTGAAAATGTTTTCTGAAAGAGCAACTACTGATCTAGAAATTCCTGCTGAACTCAAAACTACAAAAAACAAAAACAGGTTCAGCAATGTCTGGAAATTTGTCACTACACCGGAGGAATGATTAAGCAGTAGGCTGACAATGACGTAGTTACACTTGTCAGACATGAGTCAGCACAGAAGCGTACGTACCTGAGGCCTGTGTTGTTGATGGAATCCCAAATGGACGGGTCAGTTTCCCAGAACTTTTTCCCCATATTGCTGAAGATATCCTGCAATAACAAATCATGTTTAGAGATGCGCTTTCATTCATTTATTCACTTTTCATTCACACGGCTTTGCTCTACATTACTAGAGTAATCCTAATATTTCAAGTATGCAATACACCAAGTAGTGTTTCATGTCAATGAAGTACACCCACCTGTACTCCAGCATAGGCATTGTTAACCAGGATATCCAGCCTGCCATTCTGTTCACGTTTGATCCGTTCAAACACTTCTTCAATTTGTTCGTCTTTTGTAGAATCACAGATCACTGGCACACAGTTTCCACCCCTCTCCTTAACCTGTGTTGAGAACAAACACATCCCTGACTGAAACCCTGACACACATTGATGGCACCATCACAGGGATATTGCCTTTCTACCAAAATCTGATAAGCCAAATGAGCAAAATCTGACCTCTGCAGCAGTTTGTTTCAGAGTCTTCTCCTGGCGCCCTGTGATGTAGACGGTGGCTCCTGCCTCTGACAGCTGGAGAGCTATTCCCCTGCCAATGCCTCTGGAGGCACCTGTTACCAAACACACCCAGCCAGACAGGGACATTTTCTCTGGAGGAGGAAACATCCCCACATCCAATTAGCAGTTATACTAAATACACTTTGTAAACTAAAAGTACATAATATGAATATAGGTCTATGTCGTTAAATATGATCAAAGGTCAACCGGGAAATAAAATATAAAATTCCACCATGGTTGCATAAATGTAATTGCGCCATCATCCCCCAGTGTCCATGGTTCACATGAAATCTAGAGGCGCTATTATTGACCTTACACAACTACGTTTGGTCCAGTCACTATTACTCAACATTATACTGCTGACACAATAAGAATTAACCAGTGATTAATCATTTATTGGCGATAAATTCGATCACAATGTCAGAAATATATGGTGATATATATTATATATATATATATATATATATATATATATATATATATATATATATATATATATTCACAGTACATTACACACCTTAACTAAATGTCATACTATTAACTATGACGACGTATTAATGACACTAAAAACATTTATTTAGTTTCTCATAAAAGGAGAAAACATATTCTTATTAAAATCGGCGTTAAGGTCATTTCTTTCTCGTTCTTATGTAACTCTTTTTTTTTTTTTTTGGTTTGAAGAAAACGTTTGCTGTTAAATGTTAAGTTATTCTCGTCATAACAAGAGAAGTTGTTGTCGAGAGAGATTCATTGAAAACCTAAAAAAACGTTTCGAGAGAAACCGGCGACACGTTTACACGATTTGATTACATTGTAAGTCCTGCTTATAAGTGGCGAGAACTTCCCGTTATTTAACACAGTAGAATGTAAAATAAACTTTAAAATATGTAGAATTCATTAAAAATATCAATACCTTCGTGCTGGATCTGGTTTGACAAGTCTCACTAGACAAGGAAACGTATCTGTAGAAATGCCACGGCTGGTGAGTGAAGATGTTATGATATGATACTGGGTTATGCACGCTTTATACAGACTATGGTAACGCCTCAGGCTACAACAATCCTGAGGACAGCAGCATTGCTACGAAGGCACCATTCCTACCATACTATCGCGAGAAGACGCGTGGAATATCCGCGTGACACTGAGGATTCACGTGCACTAACTTCCTCCTTCGCTTAAATTCCGATGCACTAAATTTAACGTGCGCAGCCCACATGTTTGTTTCCCTTATATCTTAAAATAACGAAGCACTATTTTACATGTGCATCGTTTGAACTATTCGCCATCGTGCTTTTTAAATAAAATTAGGTTTTTAACACAGTTTTAGGCTCATGTCTTTTAGTTTGAACTGTTTCATAACGACAGGCCGGGATCAGTGAACTATCTTACTGGTGAGTCTCGGAGCTGGTCTTTGGTTTAACTTAAAATAATTCACACACGATGGCGCTATAGTCTTCATAAAATACATAAGCGATAATGATTAAAGGAAGTAGTAGCAATACCTAATATACATTGTAGGCCTATTGACTATTACGAGAATACCGAAAGAAAGAATTTGGAGATTATTTAAGACATCAATGATTTTATTACAAAGGTACAAACAATGCTCCACACTTAAATTAATCTTGTCATGTTGGCCTATTTGTAGAAGCAGTACTGGTAGTAAATAATGGTGTTTGTTTTGTTTGTTTGTTGTGAGAGAAGCTGGAGTTATGGGGGCTGTGCTGCCTATTTGCAGCTGTTAAACTGCTGTAATATTACCCTAAAGGAAAATTCTGCACTATTGGTAGTTAACACTTCACTGACCAAAGATTGTGTGTTTTCACTGCTGACTTTACAGAGCTGATGTGAATGTGTTAAATAATCATTTAAGAACTGGGATCTACAGGAATGAGCTCTCTTCTTCCTGCTGTAGTGACGTTACTGCAATCACAGCCTGCATTTTTTCCCTGTCCCATAGGAGGCCTATGTGTAGCTAATTGTTCATATTATTAGACCTAATGTACTGTATATGTTGACACATTAGTTTGTGGATTACTGGTTTGGCATCAAGATTTTGGATAAAAAGTTGTGCTACAGATTGCAAAAGGTTTCTTCCTGCTAAATAATTTGAATGACAAAACATTTCAAGTGTAACAGAACTGTATTATAAAATATTTTGTTTGCTGTTCCTTATTATTTTTGTATCAACAATTAAATATCTTGTATTAGAAGACAACTGATTAGTCAAGAGGAGTCCTGAAAGAGAGCTCCCTCTTCCTAATAGGCCCATCCTTGCCAAAAAGATTTGGTCAGAGCTGACACACTCTACACACCATAGAGAGAATTTAGGGACATTGTATTGGTAAATTCCTCATTTGATTTTTGGAAAATGTGTTTGCTGTAGTAGTTAACAGGAAGAATGAATAGCGTACAGGCCTGGTAGAGGTGTAGGGGATGCTGTCATATCAAAGTTATTACAGTACACTTTTTAAAATCTTGCATTCAATGCAATCAAGCCATTCCTGTTCGCAGAGTGGCTCATGTGCCGGTTTTAGCTTTTTTTTTTTTTTTTTTTGGGTCTAGTTATTGTATATTTAGTTTATACAGTTGGCATTTTGTGGTGTGTGTTTTCAATTTTGGTTGGTTTGAATTAATTTGTACATTTTGATTCATTTTGGTGTGTTTTGCTTTATCCTTTTAGCCACTGTGTATTTTAAATAGTATATTGTATATTTTATACTTTCAATTTTATTCAGTAACGGCATGCCTTCTTAACTAGTATATGTAGTTGGTGTGATTTCTTTCTTTTTGCTAAGTTACTTTTGGATTTTTTGTTTTTAAATTATTATTTTGTTAATAAAATTATTTGTTTAAATGTGAAACACTCTCTGCCCTGGCCTTATTTCATACGAACCTGTGTGACCTATCAATATTTCCTAGGGCGAAATTCCCTAGGTGGCGTTGTTGGCAACTTATTTAAGTTAGTATTACGTATTTAAATGGAATCTCACCCTTGTCTTGCTACATGTATGTTGTCCTTTTGTATTATGTCATTATGTGAGCCCTTGATGCATAACACATATTCCACTAGTGGCACAATAAAGCACCTAGACTCACTCTGTATAGGCCTTTCTTTTATAAAAATGGGAAAAAGGTTGTAGGGGCTCTTTAGATCCCAATGATTGAAATTATTTTGGAAAAGGCTCTTTCATACAGGACATTTTCACATGTCAGAGAAGGGAAAATAACAGGAGTAAATGATTAAATAAAGGTTTCAGGGTCCTGATATTGTCATGCTGACTCACTCTCACACTGTTAAGACTTACTAGTACCCAAATACAGCAGCACAATCTTAGGTTTAAAAAAAATTATTATATATATAGAGCAAGTTGGCAATAGAAACAAATTATTGAACATATTCATTGTATCACCAATCAATTAATTGTTACTCAGCATTATTCAAACAGGTCTCACAAAATGACCTGGTTAGAACAAATTTAGTCAATCATTATCAACAAATTACACAAGGCTTGCAGACAGATTTCAAACCAAACTGTGCTGCTTTTCAGAGATTTTGAAAATGCATCCGTGCCTATCTTGTCAGTGTTTTCCTACAGGTGCTATGGCTGCAAAACGGACACCTTTATCTTATTAATAGTAAATTAACTCTGAATTCCCAGCATAGCTTGGCTTCACCCAGTACCAATTTTAGCTGAGGTCTAATCATTAATTGGATGCCTGTGTGTACAAAGGCTTTCTCTCTTTCCAATGAGTTTAGGATTTTTGACTTAAAGTTTTAAGTGGAACAAAAGTCCTAGAAAGTTTATTTTATTGTCTGTTCATTTGCAGTTGTAGTGTGTATAGATACTATTTTCTTCTTACATAATGGGCATAGTCACAGGTGCGATAATTCTTGTGATTGAAACTAGTCTGTACTGTTTGAGGGATTTATGTTACCCTTTCAGTGTTCTGTATTCAGAATGTCCGGAGTTACGCAACTTCGTGTAATCAGCACCACCCACCCACCCAAAAAAAGAAGCTCAGAATCGAAAAAATCATAGGCAATCATTGCCAGTGCAACAAGTTTACGGGAAGCCTACACAGGAAATTCTGGAAACATTGGAAGACGCCCAAATCACATTTCAAGCCAAACAAAGCAAGTGCTGACTCGTGATAGAAGTGTTGTGTTTTATGGTTGACACAGTTCTTTTACAGAGTGCAAATATTCACTTTTGCAAAAGAATGTGACAGAATGTCTTTATTAGAAAGTTGACCATGGACAGTAACAGGAAACATGTCAGAGAAACAAGAGATTGCGTATAAATCATATATAAAATGTAAACAATACTATAAATTACTACACTTTACTATAACAGATTGCCAGGCCAATAGAGGAGCTCAAGAACAGATTTTTAAGGGAATTATTATTCACCTACATGCATGCCACTATGAAAACTTATAGAAAACATAGACATACAGTCAGTGTAAATAGATGTGTTTGTCAATATGCCACTTGCAGAATTTATCATCCTAGCCTCATGATGTTTGAGTGGAATGAACATCTTAGTAAGCTATGTTAAAATAATATATAAAATTATAAATAAAACATAAATTTTAGTATTTATAAGTATATTTATATAACAAGCATTTTATATCAGACTTTTATTTATTTGTAAAGCACCTTTCATGAAAAATAACAATTTAAGGTGTTACATTACATACATTGTGTTAAAATAAGAGCATAATCACAAAGTCAGCAGGTAAACTGAATGGTATCCTGGCACACACGCAGCATTTGTTTGAACAGTGTAAAAATTAACTGCAGTAGTCTTCAGCCTCCTGCCTGGAATAGTTTGGTATCTAAATGTTGGCTTAGTAGTCTCTGACCTTGATTGATTTTTGTCTGAGTGTTACCACAATGTTTGCTGAAGATGTCTGCAATACTATAGCTAATGAATTTGAAATCAGAGTGAACCACGATGTGGTTTTATCAGTATTTATGATTTTCACATACATTTTGTAATTAGCTTTAGTGTATGTAATTTATATAGTTAGAAAAATGTGCCAGCTTTTCATACATAGCTTTTAGCTTTTTGTAAAGGTAATCATTGATTTGCTCCTCCTATTTTTTTCTATTTATTCAGTAGTGTATAAAGAGCATTAGCACTGCTGATAGAAGAGGAATAGTTTGACACAAGACAAACTGGCTGGCAATGGCTGGAGGTTCTCACTTCATTTGGATTCCCTTCCTTCTCTCCTGTGTCTTTCAAGCTTCTGACAACAGACATGGTAAGGAACCATCCATAGCTTACTCAGTTAGCAAGCAGTGAATAAAATGTAAATATTTTAAACCCTGACAGTTACATTCAGTTGATAATGTTGAGTTTTCTGTTTTCTCAGTCCATCAGGATGTGAATAGTTTAATTGGTCCTACAGGAAATTCAGAGGTGGAGTCCATCCTTTCAAAGATCCCAGTAAGTCCCCAAAACAGTGACTTACCGAGTCAGATAAACACATGTATATAGCAATTTAAACAATCCTTATAATGGTGTCTTTTACCCCGTTGACTTCAGATAACTATACCAGAAGGAATAGATCCCAAGAATATAAATGTAACGGTATGTAACACATACTTTTTCTGCTTATGCATATCTCCTGTGGTTTGACTGTGTTGTCACCAGCATTAAACTTTTATCACAAAAACATTATTTTTTTATCTACTTTTTGTATTTATTTTAACCAACCCAATATATTTTTTTTGCCTCACAGTTAGTTTCTATCAGAACTTGTGCTGGTGAGTGGTTCTATATACTTACACAATATGTGCATGTTAAACAAATTATAATAGGTGTAATACACTAAGCAGCAGTGATTAAGTACCAATTACAGTGACAGGGTCACAGTGATAAGAATTCTTGTAAACATAAGACTCAACCTTGTAAGATTCCCAGAGAACACCGATATCTGCTAGCCTGACACCTGAGCTACTGTCTCTGACTCAAAAATTACATTTTGTGTTTCCTAAGAGAGTTTTCAAGTTACTATAAAAATTCCATTGCAAATGCAGAAAATGGTTTAGTCCGATGTAGAAGTAATACATGTACTACAACACTATATAAACATATACTCTTAGACAAACTGTCTATTATTGTGCTGGGTTAACATCTGACATCATTCAAATCAGATTTGAAGGAACAGCTGACGCTGCTTAACAGGCAGCTTCAACAGACAACTCTCCACAACAGCCACCTAGGTGAGTATTCATCGTGTTAGAAGTGGAGGTATTACACTAGTTACGATTTGTGTGTTTACTGTTTCTCTGATTTAACCTGTACTCTTTCTGACAGAGAATGAAGCCTTTGGGTTGAGGAGGGAATCCAGATTGCTGAAACAGCAGCTTGCTGCATGCAGTTCGACAGCCTCAGCTATTACTGGCTGTAAGCTTTTAATCATCAATCACAATATATGCTCAGAGGATACACTTGGAATGACACAAACCAATGTGTAACTGTATCTTTAATTCCATGGCAGCTTATCAAACCCAATTACACAACAAAATGAAACAGCTTCTGGAGACATTTGATAGTGACACATTTCTGAGTAAGTTTACCTGGCTTGGATTTAAGCCTCCCATATTTTGTTTATTGTTTTCTTTGGGTTTATTTTATCATATGTCAATGCAGAGTTTGAGTTTAATCTAATATACATGTTTTTATCTAGTTCTGAAAACCATTGCTCTCACCAGGGAAGTGAATACATTACAGAAGAAGGTCAAACATGCTGCTAATTCTACTGAAACTACTATTGAAATCCAAGGTGAGTGTTGTTTTGTTGTTCTACATCTGCTTGTAAGTATTTAAAATTTAGTACTATAGCCTACTCTTCTGCTACTCTCAATACAATAAACCCCATCTTGAAAGATTTGAACTTGGCCTCAATCTGCAATTTTGCTAATCGTGTTTTGAGCTTCTGTGACAATGTCATTGTTAAAAAAATGTTTCATATCTGAGCTTGTGTCTCACAGTGCTGAAGAGAGAGCTGCAAGAGAAAATCAATGAACTGAATGAAAAGACACAGGAGATTGAAAGAAGCCACACTAACTCATTACTGAGTAAGATGCTGATCCATTTTGATTTGTACATACATTAAACTATATAAGGTAGTAAAAGGTTCTGATTTCACTTCTTTTTTTTGTTTGCGTCTTCAGTTCTTCAGATCATCTCACTGCAAAATCAGATCTGGGATTTGGAACAGGCAATATCAAGAAGAGGAGAAGCTAGCCTTCAACTGGACAAGGGAATTCTGGGTAAATTGCTGAATGTTAAACTACAAAAATTGCCTGTACACATCCAGGTAGCACATTTGAAGCAAGACTAAAAAGACTTCAATTACCAAGCATATCAAAAAACAATTACCTAGCATTTTAGCTAAACAAGTTAGCTACATTTAGTAGTTATTCTAAATAGGTGTTACAATTGTTGTTGCAGTAGCTGCTTTTTGCAAAAGTTACATAATCTCACTTTATTTCCTCTTTCCATTTAGCTGTTTGTTTGGCAAGAATAACTCTTTTATCATGTTATGTCTGTGTTTATCATGTATTGTGTTCACTTCAACAGCTCTACAAGGCCAACTGGACAAGAAGCTCAGTGAGCTGCGAGGCAAAGGAGATGCCGACTCAGTTAGTCAGTACATCTTTCTTAATATTTCCTTTATATTAGCAATGTTAAAGGGATTTTCATGCTTCTAACTCTTCCTCGCACACATTCCCTGTTGGTCCTCCAGTGCTGGAGCTGATATCAGTGCACAGTAAGATTGCAGTGATGCAGAGGCTCATCCGTGTCCACATTGAGGAATCCAGAACTAATACTGCTGGTGAGTCCCTATCTCATCATCAACTTGTAGTTCCTGTCTTATCTTGTATGTGACCTACTTTATGCTATTATGGCTTCAATTTTATTTCTTTTTCAGATTACCAGAGGCAATGGAGGCAAAAAGCTGAGCTCCTTAAAAAGAAGATTTTACAGTTGAATCGAGATGAGAATAACACTGAACTTAGTAAGCGTGCAACTCAACAAAATACACTTTTTTGTTGTTATTTTTGTTTTTACTCCAGCATTACTTTAACATCCTCTATATCTTTTCTCCAGCCAAGGAAATTTTGAAACTGCAAGCAGAGGTGGAGAACTTAAGACAGTTAATGATAAATGCTAAAATCACAACTGATTCCCAACTTACAGGTAAATGAGCCTACAGGTCTATGAGACTTGTTCTAAATGTATGAAATTGAAAGTGTGTTCGTGTAATGTGGGATTATAAAATGCTAAAACTATAAACAAATCTTATAGTTAACTGCAAAGTCAGAAAGGCAAAAACATTTTGTTTCATCCTAGAGCTAAGAGTTATTTTGGAGCGGGAGAAGAAACAGCAAGAAATCTTGGAGAAACAACTGGAGGAAGCGGAGTATGTCCAGGCACAGCTGAGTAAGTAGGAGCATGAAAAAAGGCAGACTGATGTCTTGCCAGGTGCATTAATGCAAAATTACTATAGTTTAACATGAGGAGTTTAATTCAAAATACAAAACAAAGTTTAAAGAACATTAATTATTTTACCCTTTAAGTGTATTCACCGATTATACATAAATCACCTCCAACAGTCAAACATTGAAGTTTTATTGTTTTACTTTAAACAGTCATGAAAATCATCAGCATAATGAAAGAGGTGAGAGAGCTGCAGGTTGATGAGCAAGACCAGACAACATCAACAAGTCAAGCCACCAGTGAGTCCCCTTCTTCTACTTTCAGGCTGAAAAAGCAGCTGATGCTTGCCAAAAAAAGATGCCATGAATCTTTGGTTTCCTTACACTCTCTCTTACAAATCTCTTATGTTTCATTGTTTTAAATCAGCTCTTCAGACTCTGCTTCAAGCCAAAGAAATTGAATATGCCAAAGCTCAGGATGAAATAAATGGTGAGTCCGTTTTATTCTCATCTATAAAACTGCTCTGAAAATGTCAAAGCACAATTTCAGGTGATGACCTGACTACATCTTTCTGTAAAACAGAGCTGCGGAGGAAACTGCAATTAAAGAGTCAACAATGCTCTGGTCTTGAGGGAAGATATGAGCGTAAGTTGTAAATAGGACTTTAGCTAAGTATATATAATTTATGTTTTGGTTTCAGTTCTGATATGGTTAATGTGTATGTTTCTATCAGATGTAAATACTGAATTTGAACAGAAGATTTTAGAACTGAACAGAACCGGGGACTTCAAATCAGCACTCAGTGAGTAACACTACAATACAATATTGGCATCATTGCCTCAGTGCAGTGTATTATTCACATTACAGATGAAGTCCCTCCTGCTCCTGCAGTTTCTCATCTGATTGTTTGTTTCAGAAATATAAACTATGTTTGCTCTGTTTCCCTGAATCAGTTCTGAACGTGATGAAACTATATGATGAGCTGAAGACTCTGAGGGATCAGATCTCCACCTCAGAAGACCCAGAGAGGATATCAGGTGCATAACAAAAGTCCCGGTGGATGTTTGACACTGCAGTTGTGAATATGTGTTAATACGATATTTAGTATGACATTCAGAAATGCCTGTTCTTTGCTTGAATCTTTATTTATATCTTGAAAGAAATGCAGATTTTTCACTATGTTTGACAAAACCTTTTTCTGCTTTCTAAATGTATCACTGTTTCTCTCTTCTCACAGAGCTGCAGAGGCAACTGGAGGAAAAGCAAGACGAACTGAACTTCATGACTGACGATATAGAGAGACTGATTGCAAACCCAAAAAGAAGTAAGGGGAATTAATTTGATCCTCAGTGTCCATGTGAGTTACTGTTATTGAGTGAACTGTCCTAAGAAACTGATAAACTAAGTTTTAGATGGCATTTGGATATCTTGGGTAGCTAAGCTTTATTTAATGTCTTGAACTTTTTGGTCCCAGGGACAATCAGGCAGCTGTATTTTTTTGTCACTGTACAGACAAAAGTAGTGGCTGTAAAACAAAAGTGTAAAAAGTGTCTCTAAACTTTTAGCTGCTGTTAAACATTTCACCATTAACTTCATGTCACTGCATGCTGTAACAGTAAAACAAACTCACACAAAAACGAGGCTGACCACGTTTAAAAAACATCCTTTGACAAGATATGTAAAGTAGAGTCAAGAGAACATTAATCATTAACAGGTTTAGAGTCAGGAGGACTGTCAACATAAAGGTCTAATGTAAGTAACAATTCTGCTGTCATTTGGGCACTAATGGCTAAATAAAACAGGATACTTTTTATAGAATAAAATATAAAATCAGGGGATCTTTATGTTGTTGGAGATGCCTTTCCATTTTTGCCTCTTCTGACAGTTTTTGTCCTTGTTGTCATGCCAGTGGTTTCTAAGATATGCATGGCTTTAAATGTATTTACAATGCGCCGCCGGTTGAGGTTGTAGCTCTAAGAGTCTGGGAAAAAAGACACCAGCCAGTAGTTTCTGTTAACAGACTTGCTTAAACTTACTGCATGTTTGTTTGTTTCAGTTTTAACAATCATAGAGCTGCAGAACGACATGTGGGACCTTGAGACAAAGGCTGCCAATGACACCACTGGCGACTATGTAAAAGGTTAGTCTCATTTAAAATGTCAATTTTAACAACTCAGGGTGATATTTTTTGAAAGTCAAGTCAGAAATGACACAATGTAGCTTAAATTAAAGTACTTCTTTCCCAGAGTTGCAGAACAGAGTCGATGGCCTAATCAGTGAAATAGATGACAAAGGTGACAAAAAAACAAAACTGAGTGAGTCTGAAATTTTTTAAAAAGATGTTACATTCTTATTCCTGTATATTTGGTAGAAAACTAAATTTCTTTTGTTGTGGTGTGCTTCAGTGCTGAAAATCATAACCCTGCAGAGTCAGGTGGAGCAGCTGCAGAGTCAGTTGTCAGACATCCAGATGTTACGACCCACTCACATAACCCGTGAGTAATGATTCTTTACGAATCCCCTGATCTCCACAACATGAGCATCACTTAAAATGAAATGGTTTACAGCTGGCTGCACTGAACAGTGGATTTAAAAGTAGACAGATAAAGTTAAAATAAAATAAAAATGTTCTGATTTGTCAGAGCTCAGAAATGATCTTACGACTAAGAGGAATGAGCTACAGAAATATGTCAACGAGCTGAATGAGAAGAATCAAACAAACACCAGGTTGAGTAAGTAAAAAGGGAACATGGTGTCAACATTTATTATAGTCTGAAAAATATTTATTTACAATATATGTAATGTCTGTGTTTCTCAGTTCTTACAGTCACCGATCTGCGCAACCAACTCAGAAACCTAGAAAGAGAACGAAACAACAACAACAATATCAAATCATCATTAACAAGTACTCATAAGTATATCATTTTCTTCTAAGAGCACTGAATTCATTTCATAAAAGTTCGCTGTTTGATAACTAAAGCAAAACTGGCTTTTCTAGAGCTGAGGGAACAACTGAAGGCAAGCATGGCGCAGCACTCTCGCGATCAAGCTGAGCTTAGGGGTAAGAGTATTTTGTTGACTGTGAAAAAACCTTGACTGACTAAACATATTATAATCCAGTCCTTCAGACTCTGCTTAAAGCTAAAGACAGGGAACATGCTATTACTAGGGCTGGGTAATAAAACAATAATAATAATTATATAATTTAATTTTTATAAATATAATTTTCCTCAATAACAATATAATAAATGTTCAATGTATTGTCAATAAATATATAGTTAAATTAATTTGAATCACAAACAAACTAGCACTTACTTTTTCTATTAAAATATTTGTTTTGTGAGGAAAAGGGACTGAAAGAAAATTTAGTAATCATATTTGTTGAAAAGGATTTTGTCACAATAGTTTAGAATGTTTTACCTCAGATTTGTTAAGTGATCCACTGTTTGGCATCAAGTGTTACTGGAGTCACATTCTGAGCGTAAAGAAATGTTTCACCACATAATAACCATCTGGTTTCTTCAATTTTCACTCAGGAGCAAAAATCTGCCTTTAAACTTGAAAGAAATAATGATTTGACATATATCGTGATAATTATCGATATTTAATGATGTGAAATATTTTTATCGTGATAACATTTTTGGCCATATCGCCCAGCCCTAGCTATTGCTCAGTCTGAGGTCAGAGGTGAGTTTTTCTTAATAGGATTGTCTACTCATATTGCTCTGAAGGGAGAGCTTTGATTATCTGACTTCATCTTTCTGTACAACAGAGCTGCAGAGCAAACTGCAATTAAAGAGTCAACAATGCTCTGGTCTTGAGGAAAGATATGAGCGTAAGTTGTAAATATGACTTTATCTAGTAAGTACAGTATATGTAATTTGTGTTTTATTGTTGGTTTTGATTTGGTTTATGTGTGTGTTTCTATCAGATTTAAAGACTGAATTTGAACAGAAGATTGTAGAACTGAACAGAACCAGAGACTCCAAATCAGCACTCAGTGAGCAACGTTACAATGCATCATTCGCATTATAGATGAAATCTCTCCATTTTACATGAGCGGTGTCAGTTACTGCTCAGTTTGTTTCAGAAGTATAAGCTCTGTAGTGATGTTTGCTCTGTTTCACTGAGTCAGTTCTGAACGTGATAAACCTGCATGATGAGCTGAAGACTCTGAGGGATCAGATCACCACCACAGAAGACCCAGAGAGGATCTCAGGTGAAGAGCAGTGGTCAAAGTTTGACACTGCAAATGTGTATCTGTACATTTTAGTTTAGCATTGAGAAATACATGATCCTTAAAATTATATTTTTAAAGATATACAAGTTATATATCACTATAACAGTTTTACTGAAATAAGTTAATAATAAAAAATAAGATTAAATATGAAATATCAATGCATTTTTTGGGGCTAGATCTGCAGAATCAGCTGACGCAGACTGACGCACAGTGTCCCAATTTTCACTGTTATCTCTTTGTCTGCTCACAGAGCTACGTAGGCAAGTGAAGGGGAAGCAAGACGAACTGAACACCAGGACTGCAGACATAGAGAGACTTATTGCAAACCCAAAAATAGGTGAGGGCATTGATTTGATTCTCTGTTATCGTCTGGGTCACAGTTTACGTCCAAATTATCTTCATGGGTGTGACAGCTGTTGTCATATTTAGTAGGGTTAGCATTAGGGGGTTGTCCCTTTGAGTTTGACACACATGATATTATGCATTCTGGGAATATCTATACTATATATGCTTTTTGTGATGGTGCTGCTATAGTGACTTTTAGATGAAAGTTTGAACATTTGAACATCTAGATTTTTAAAACGTAGATGTTCATTTATATTCGTTGATCTTGAAAATGGAAATTTATTGGGGAGTTTTGTACTATGAACAGAAATTCAAGACCGCTTCAGAAATCATTTAAAGAGCAAGGAATGTCAGAAATCTTAAATAGAAATATTTTCAAATGTTTCCAACTTGTCTGACATAAGTATCCAGATTTGTGATAAATTAACAAAACTGCTGAGTACATTTAGATATTTTTGTTATGTTTTTGTTTCTTCTTCTAATTACTTTTGACTAAAATATCTTCCATCAATGAAAATGAACCACACTTTGCACGCTCACTCTCATGTTGATGGGAGAAACAATCTTTTCCACTAATGTTTTGAGTATCAGCCACCGACAGAAGAAAGACCAGTTTCAAAAAGCACAAATACCAGTCGATTCCCAGTTAGCATGGCTTAGAGAATTATGAAGTAATAAATAAAGTAAATAGGCATTTAGCCTTTTATGGTGAGGCCTGGTAATACTTTCTGAGGCAATAAACCCTGTCAACCCCATTGCATGTTTCTTTGTTTCAGTTTTAACAATCATTGAGCTGCAGAATGAGATTTGGGATCTTGAGAAAAAGGCCGCCAATAGTGGCCGTGTGAAAGGTTAGTCTTATTCGAAATGGCAATTTAACAATTCAGGGTGACAATATTTGAGAAATCAGAATCAGAAATGACAAAATTTAATCTACATTAAAGACTATACTTATTTCCCAGAGATGCAGAACAGGGTGGATGACCTTATCAGTCAAATAGAAGACGAAGGCGGCGAAAACACAAAACTGAGTGAGTTTGCAATAACCAGGAGCAAGAAGTTTTGCAGACAAGTTTTGCCATCTCTTTGTTGAGGGAAATTACAATATCTCTTGAATTAAACTACATTTTTACCCTTTCTGTTGCGGTGTGCTTCAGTGCTGAAAATTCTGATGCTTCAGAGTCAGGTTGAGCAGCTGCAGAAGCGGTTGTCAGACGTCAACACATTACAAACATCGCAAGTAACCGGTAAGTATCTCCAGCAAACCTTTCATGACCTACTGCTAAGGTTGTTTGTAATGTTTTTTTATTTTGTATCCTGATCTTCTGCATATAACTATGTTCTTTAACTTTGTCTCAGAGCTCGCAAATGATCTCACAACTAAGAAGAGAGAGCTGCAGGAATATGTCAGTGAGCTGAAAGAGAAGGATCTGGCAAACGCCAAATTAAGTAAGTAAAGAGGAAACATGGTATCTGCATTCATAACTGAGGATGTAGTCTAAAATGTTTCCCATATGTTCTTTCTGTTTCCTTCAGTTCTGACAGTCACTGATCTGCACAACCAACTCAGAAATCTAGACAAATTAAAGAACGAGGGCCAAGCTGCTACTGCTACAATTACTAGTGAGTGTTTCATTTCCTTTTGACATTACTGAATTCATGTATTTAACAGTAGCGCCTTCTTAAGATGAAGCATGACTTACTCGTTCTAGAGCTGAAAGAACAACTGAAGGCAAAAGTGGAGGAGCACGCACAAGATCAAGCTAAGATCAAGGGTGAGTTCAGTACTCAGCATGTATGGATTTGTGCAACAAGAAATAAAAAACAAGATTAAATATGAAATATCAATGCATTTTTTGGTGCTAGATCTGCAGAATCAGCTGACGCAGACAGAGGCACAGTGTTCCAGTTTTGACCAAACACTTAAAGGTGAGTCTAGCCTCTGTTGTCACACCCTTATGAGTCCACTGTGAGAAATGAATGGGTTAAATGTCTATTTTAAAGTAATTGGTGTTAGAAAAATAGGAAGACAACTTTTTCTGCAAAGTATTGGATTGGAATACAAAGTTTTCCTCAACATTGCCGGAAAGCAGCTTAAGAGCTGAATACAGTTACAGGAAAGAGAGAAAAACACAGAGAACATCACTCGATATCTTGCACACCAACCCCTCCAGAAGACTTATTTCTCAGTAGTCTCTTCAAAGTTGAGGCCTTAAAGGGTGGCTTTTTACTGTCCAATAGGAATTGAGGAGCCACAGATTGCTTAAATGGGCAGCTAGAGGAAAACACCATACAACTTATATAACTTTAATAAGTGGATACAGTAATCCTTGATATAATAGCCATCTTAATGTTTGACAATATGGACCGGAAGAAGTGTTTGAAGTAATTTTTGACATTTTTTTTTTTTTTTTTACATTAATGTTTTTGAAGTGATATAGGAAAATTATTTAACCCCCTGGAAACAATTGACAGAGATATGGTCTTATTTAACCTGTCAAATAGTTTAACAAATTATGTGGTTATTTGTTTTTATTTTTTTACATGTATGATCATCATCTGCATGAAGTGAAATGGGGTGTGTTTTGGACAGTGACTGGCCCATGAACTTGTTATTGCCAGGTAGCCTGCATAAATTTCTCCGAAGTGAATGATAAAGGGCAATCCCGGTGAGACCCGAAGATAGAAACCTTTACGGAGCAGATGTTGACCGTCACAACCAAAACTATTGGGATCAGCATAAAGAAACTCCTAATCTTAGAAATACATTCTTCGCACTCCTCAGATAGTCCTATTTAAAGCGTTCAGAAGTTTTATCTTGTTGTGTCTGTGGGATCAATGGTTGTTACAAATGTGTCCTTGTAGATCTGCAGAATGACCTGGATTCCAAAATGAAGGAACTGCAGAACAAATCTGACACTGTTACTACGCTTGGTGAGTGGTGGAGCTGTGCTACTGTTTGGCTCATACTGTATTACCCTAATATTACCCTAAGTAAAGATGTCCAAAATGTGAGAATCTGCTGATTGTCTTAGTCTTTGTCTTTCATGATAGGTAACTGAATTATTGTTTAGACAAAAAAGATGTTAACATGTCAGCATGGGCTTTGGGACATTAGAAAGGACAGTTTTATAATTTTCTGCTTTTCTTATGGACCAAACATAAAATAACCTACTGATTAATTTAATAATAAAATTGATTAGTTGCAGACCTATACCATACATGGAAATCTAATTAATTTTAACAAAGGCAGCTAATTTATATTAAACTATGGTTACAGTTGAGCGATCTGCATATGCATTAAAGGGTACAGAAAAACTTCAGACAGTTTGAATACTGTTGCTAGTTAACTTCTTTTCAATCTGGCTGTTTCAGCTCTTCAGGTTTCTACATTAACCCTGCAACTGGAGGAGCTAAAGAGACAACTGCAAAACACTGAATCTGAAAGTAAAATAAAAGGTCAGTCTGTGTGTGCAGTTGCCCAGATGACGATATGTTCCATCCTTGCTTGATATGAAGTATTCAGTTCCCATGTTGTTTTATCTTGGCCCACCAACGGGTGCACAAGATACGACAGAGATAGTATGTGGATCTACTGTGCAGCAGAGAAACATCTAAACAGCGATGTGAGGTGTTATTCCTAGGCACGAAGAACAAGGGATATTTAAGTTAAAATGGCTTTGTTTTTGTTCTGCAGAGCTCCAAAAAATAATAGATGAGAAAACAAATGAGTTGGCCAAAAAAACATTGGAGCTAAATGCAAGAAGTGCTCAGCCACAAAGATGTGAGTAGAACGTGATCAACAACTCACTGAAAGAATCCAAATCACTGAAATATATATAGTTAAGATGGGGAAGTTATACTCGCTAGAATACGATTGTCAACACTTTCACTCTTCTTCCAGTTCTGCAGATTATTGCAATACAAACAGAGATTGAGAGGTTGTCGAATCTGGCAAGAAATGACACAGATTACGAGAAGATTAGAGGTAAGTGACAAAAACATGCAGTATGTGGACTGCCTATTGTATACTCTGGACTCTAGAGCAACAGCATTTTATAATATAATGTTGAATAAACCGTTTAAACCATACATGTGCTCCTATGTGTTCTCCCTTTCTTGTCTGCAGGACTCCAAAACCATTTGAACTATTTGATTTCCGGAATTCAAGATGAAAACAGTGAAAATACTAAACTGAGTGAGTCATCATCAAAATGCCAGTGAAATGTAATCCATCGTTGCGGATCATGGTCTTGTATCCGCTGAATTTATCTAATCCAACCTTTCTTCTGTTAGTGTTTAAAATCTTGGCTGAACAAGATGAAATAGCAAAACTGAAGAGGCAACAAGTGAAACAGACTGAAGAAAAATTGAAGGAAATTAAAGGTGGGAAGTGGTATTTACAAGCAAATGTATTCTGAATACTTTATTCATACATTTTGAAGAAATTAAACATCCTTTCTGTCTTTTTCAAAGATCTGGAGAATGAACTAGAGGATGTCAGAAATCAGATAAAAGAAAAGACACTGGTGCTGCACACCAGTGACTTGACGATTGCTAACTTGTGTAAGGGTTCTGCTCAGTTTTGGCCAGAAGAAAAAAAACAATTATCAAATTACATCAGAATAGTAAAAGTTGTCTGCTTTGTCTTTTTGTAGCGGCTCAGATTATGGAACTTCACAAGAAAATCAAACCACTTGAAGAAGCCATATCAATCATTAAAGAAGAAAATGCTGAAAACCTCGAAGGTTAGGGACAGTTACATTGTAATATGCCATGAAGTAACACATACACAGATTCTGATGACATGATTTGGAATTTCATCGATCACTAAATCATTTTCAGAGATTCAGAAGAGACTGGATTTGACGAAGAGGCAACTGCAAGACAGCGAACATCTACTTAAGGAAGCAGATGCAAATAATTTTAAATCAAGTATGAAAATGATGTATTTGCTAATGTTTTGTGTCATGTTGTGTGTTTCCTTTATGCACAAACTAATACTGTAGCTCTGTCTGTGTCTCTGCTAGTAATGGAGATTTCTGATCTGAGGGCAAAACTGAAAAAGGCTCAGAAACTGGCATCCAGAGCTTCTGGAAAAGATATCAGCGGTTCGTCAAAATAAAGTTACTTTCATACTATTGTCTCTTCAACACATTATTTCTTACTGTGCATGCTAGAATTTTATAAATATGATAAAAATATAAACACGTATTTGCTAAATTATCTGTTTGGTAAAATTAACATTCTACAACCATCCTCTTTTATCTGTAATATTGTTGAAAAAAACTCTATTTGATTTTTCACGTAGTTGTGTTTATTTTTGTCTTTTCTCTCAGAGTTGGAACAACAAATACAAACACTGAAAAAAGAGAACAGAAATCTTGAAAACACAAATAAAGGTATGTGCTGGGACTCTTAAAGGGATAGTCATTATTCGCTTTCTTCTGCAAGTTAGATGAGAAGATTAATACCACTCTTGTCCGTACGCTATAAAGCTACACCCAGAAGTTGGTTAGTTTAGCTTAGCGTGAAGGCTGGAAACAGGAAAACAGCTAGTGCTTTGTGATTTTACAGGGGCTATTTGCCAGACTACTTTCTAAAGTATCAGCTGGTTGTCTGTTAAGTTCACATTCATGACAAGTCTCCAGGAAGTGACTGTGCCCAGCTTGGAAATAGTCCAGCACATATCACCCTGCAAAACCACTTTATTATTTATACTTTGGATTTTGTACATGTCAATTAGTGAACTTTAGAGTGGATGCATGTGGACTTACTTTTGGATGCCTTCTGGATGTAGATTCATATTCAACTTGACACTTTGATACATGTCAGTGTTTCAACGTCCTTCTTCTGTCAGACTTAAAGCAAGAGGTCCAAGAACTGAAAATGTGCTGCTCTGATGTCAACACCCATTGTGACGGTGAGCTCCTCAATGCCCTTATTATCACTCCACATGTAGCTGTCCTCGAGATCCACTGAATCATTTGATGTAGCTTTTGAACTGAATATTTCATGAAACAGATTTACAAAGACAACTGCAACAGAGCCATGAGGATGCGGATCGCCTACAGCAGCAGCTGCTTGAGAAGGATGGCAAGCTCGACCAGCTGCAGCAGGAGTTAGAAAAACAAACCAGGGAGTATAACAAACTGCAGGACGACTACATCAGTACGTTCAGCCTTCTGAAAGTGCCTAAACACACAATGTGTATATTAATTCAATATCATAGTGGAAAGGTAGAAGTTGGTCTTGGGATTCTTGATGAAATGTATAAATCTTGCTGTCTTAGACCTGCAAAATGTAAAGAACAAACTAAACTGTTGGTTCTGTTCAGCAAAGTCCAGACAGTACATTGTGACCAAAAAATAAATAAATACTGTTCTCTCTCCTCAGATCTTCAAAACAAAGTGGCTGATGTTGAAGATAATACAATCTTTGCCAGTGAGTCACACACATAAGCCTGTAGATTCTCTGATCACTGCATAAACGTCAGGATAAAAATACAAAACTCTACACATACATACACACATTCACTGTACACTGTTAGAAACTGTATAAATGTAACTACAGTATATGGATGACTATAAAATAGAACTCCATGAATTTTACAGTCAGTTTAGTCTTCATACCTAGTATTGCTAGCTTCTATGGAGGAGTCAAGTCTGGGAAATGTCATTAGGGTTATCAGAGCTTGGGCTTGGAGACTCCATTTTTTTAACATAAAGCATGCTTTATACATGGGTGTTTGCCAGACAGAGAGGGCCTTTCTCAAACCACCTCCTACACCCTCTCCCTACCCACTCGCACTCCATTTGTGCGTTCATGTAGAGGGTCCGCCATTAAGTGCTATCCCACACCAATTAGCAGGGAGTGGAAGTGGGTTATAAATCTTCACACTCAAGGAGTTTTAGGCATGTTCCTGGTAAGTCTATGAGGGTTTATGGCTGTCCCACTGTCAAATCATCAAGGGCATGAGGGCCCGAGGCATTTTATACACACTTTCCGTAAGTCCGCATCTCTGCAGATTTTGAATGAAGGATTAACATGTAAGTGTATGATGTTGTTTTGATAAAATCGAGTAAATTAATTATTTGAAAATGACCTCTGGTCCACTCTGTAAGGCAGGAGTCTGGAATAAATCTGGCAGTCGGTCCATTCAGTGCCTCGGCTGTGAAGAAAGTAAAATAGAAAGTCCCAAACCCACAACTGTATGTAACATGTTTTGACGCAACAACTTAAAGGTTGATTGTAAAGTGTTGTATATTTACAGGGACTGCGGCTACAATCAAGCATCAGAGTGAAAAACAAAAAAAGTGTGCCGTAATCTTCCATCAGCTGGTAGATCAGGGCAACATTTGCTGCTTCCAGAAAACTGAATTCCTGTTCAGTACTTTATTTGTTTTAGGTGCTCTTATGTAAATGTATTAAAAAATGACCCTTACTGGTGTTAATGAGAGAAGTATCTCTGTACTGCAAATCACTTAAGAATACAAAAAAGAAAATAACAAAAAAACCTTATTGATGCCCTATTACAGGAGATCCCTTAGTTATTTTTTTTATTAAATGTTTTTTTCTCTTTTATTAGGTTATAATTATGTTTACATTGTGTGCTCCGTTTTCTAAATAGCCGATTACGGATGATGTATTACTTGCCATATAGCCTATTGTTGTACAATTTCTATTTTATAAAAAAAGAAGTTGCCACTTTCGAAACATGCTGGTATGAAAGCTGGAGACAGTTCCTGTTTCTGTTGCAGAGAGAGAAGTTCGTCCTTAAGTTTGCCACTGTAGATTTATACCCAAGACCATAATGAAGGGTGCTTTGTTCTGGTGCAAGTTTATCTTCTAACAGATTGGGGAGGGGTCTTGTTTGAGAAAGACCCAAGGGGTCTAATGAAAGATGCTAGCAGTTGCATTATGGGAGATGTAGGGCTAAAAAGTGAGGCTCAAATGTCAGCATTATGACAACTGCTGCTTCAGTTTTCACCGTTCTTTTTTAAATCTGCCTCTTGTGACTCCACCTTTATAAAAGTGACATACTAAATCACCGAAGTACTGCTTTAAACTTTTTTAATGTCAATTTCCTTTCAAAATGTGATGCAAAAATACACATGATCTACTACATTTCTCTGTTTACAGGGAAGATGACCTTGGATCCAAACACAGCAAACCCAAGAATAGTTCTGTCTGCAGATAACACAGAGATGTCCACTACTGAAGCAATACAAAATATCCCAGACAATCCAGGCCGGTTTGATGTGGCTCTCGGTGTCCTGGGCAGTACTGGATTCTCAAGTGGCAGACATTACTGGGAGGTGTCTGTAGCTGGGAAGCTTTGTTACCATCTTGGGATGGCTAGTGAATCTGCTGAAAGAAAGGGAAGTATAACATTCAGGCCGACAAATGGTTTCTGGACCATAGTTCTGAACAAGCAGGGTCAGTATAAAGCTATTGATAAGCGGTCTGTTATTATTCCAGTTGAGACGCAACCTCTGACACTGGGCATTCTGCTGGACTACAAAAAGGGACAAGTCTCTTTTTATGATGCTGGTGCCAGATCTCATATGTACTCATTTGTAGGTCAAACATTTACAGATAAGATCTATCCATTTATCAATTTTTGTGTTGAGGACATTGAAAGTTCTACTCCAATAGTGTTGCTTTCTCCTGGATCAGTTGACTGGATAAAATAGAGAACTGGGAAGTTTCATCCTGTGCGTCAAATCTTAACCATGCGTCTAATCATCTTAGTAGCCATTCCATGTGACTGCAGAATAGTTATTACACATACTTCTGTTACTACAGTTGCTGAATGTTTCAAACAATAAAAAATATGAAACAATGAATTTGGTTTGATCTGTGTTTGACAAGTGATGTGTCCTCTTGTCCGTGTCATTCCAGGTGTTTTAATCACTAGGCCCAATATAGAAAAATGAAGCCTATAAGTTTAATTATCTAGCCAGATGTTAAACCTGTTTAAGGTTATGTCATTGGGGTCATTACATGGCAGAGCAAGAAAGTATTAATGAAAAAGTTCTTTATAAAAAAAACAAACAAAAAAACATTGTATAATGTGTGATGCAGCCCTGGAGAAACCAGTGTAGGAAATGCAATAAAAAACAGCTTATACTGAATGAACACTTCAGTTCTTACATGGAAATTGTTTACCTTCAACAATAAGGCCCATCACAGTTACACACACATTTCTCTGTCGAGAACTATCTCAGATCTAATACACATTTCCCACTACATTTTTTTGTAATCACTTTTGCCATCACAATGCAAACACTGCTCAGTCTCTTCCTGCTGTACCGGCTACACTCCTGTAAAAGTGGGCAACAAAAACTGGGTCCCGCTCTTCCAGCATGTGCAGGAAATGATTCCTCTCCTCTTCTCGCCAAGACTCAAACCACTGGGACCACAGGCGCAGCTGGCATTCAAATATGTTTGGTAGTCTGTCTTTAACCTTGTCAGGGTACAAAAAAAAAAAAAAAAAAAAAAAAAGAGAAAGCAGCTGTTAAATGTTAGAAATTACATATCAGCACTCTGCTTAGAAGTGACCGTGCAGAATGTACCTGAAGAGTACTGAGTGAATCAAGGAGGGTGCACACTTTCCCAGGCACAGCTTTCCCCAGAAGATCCTGCAAGAACCGCTCCCTCTGAGAAGCGGTCCAGCCGTGGAACCAGCTCAGGACGCACCGCTGCTCCTGGAGGCTTACATAGGAGATGGGCTCCGGGTCTCTTACCTGACCTGCACTTGGAGAAGCGCAGGACAGCTTCTCGAGACTGAGGGGGCTGGCTACACCCTGTGGGGCTGATGGAAAGTCCTCCGCGATGGGAGTGGGGCAGCCGGTCCAGTGTTGTGCAGCCATGGTGGGTGAACCCTCTGTCGGACCTCTGAGCCTGGAGTTGTGAGCGCTACACAAGATGTCTGTGAGTCTGTGGCTGTCAGTGGGCTGCTGCTGATCCGAGCCTTGACTGACATGACTGAACCACGCCATTGTTAGAAAGACAGGTTAGCTTCAGACTGAGAAAAGCCAGCCTCTGCTTAAGTTAATCAGCAATATCTGCTGCTGATAGAGACTCCTCTGGTCTGGGTAGCGTTAACATGTAACTTGACGTTAGCGTCGTCGGTGTCTGAATTTAAAACCAGCGTCACAATGAACTGGCCTTAACATAAATGGCTCTGAGTACGCATTTTTAAATCGTAAATCACCTTACTGTCGGCATATTTGAAGTGCAGTGTTGGACGAGAGTCGCGCTAATCTTTCCAACAGATATATACAGGAAGTATACAGTTAGCTAATTAGCCTTGTTGTAGAGGAAATCAAGCTTGCGCAGATTTTGCGCATAGTTTGTTGTTGAACAAATTAAAATATTAAAACAGTAATTTGTGTATAATATGTCAAATCAATACATTTAGTCGTGCTGAAAATGAATTATGTGTGATCTAGGCTTAAAAAAAACCGAGAAACCTTTTATTGATTTGATATTTGATTGGGGGGAAGTCGTCGAGGATGACGCTGCGTGGAGGAAGGCGTTGCTCGTCGCTCTCGCTGGGAACTGACTAGAGGAACGGAAAATGGCGGACCTCGAAGACGTTACCCTGGACGGGAGACCGCTCCAGTCCCTTCGAGTAGCGGATTTAAAAGCTGCTCTTGAGGAGAGAGGACTTTCGAAAAGCGGGCAGAAGAATGCTCTCATTAAAAGACTCAAAGGGGTGAGTTGTGCTGCGAAATACCGGACCACGGTTGCTGCGAGCTAACGTTAACGATGAGACGGGCTGATGCTCTCTTGAGGGCCGACAACTGAGTATCGTTACTGCCGAGCAGCGTAGTAGAGTTATCGAGGTTAATGGCCACTAATCAGTTGAAATATGAGTCTGATTGCACACCACTGTGGTTGAGTGGTGTTTTCGCCGTGCAGAAGTATGCCAACCGTTGCAAGACCGGGAGTTAGATCAACTTAATTGTTAGCTATTAATTTCAAAGTGTGTGTCGCGGTGATGTTGTCCTGTTAGCTCGTTAGCTCCCCTGGCTAACGCTGTGACTTGAGCGGTGGCCTGGTTTGCTGCTGTGTATGTTACCGTTAACGGCGTCTGTCCCAACAACAGTCGATGTGCATGGGTTTAGCCGGGAGGTTAACGTTACACCAGTTATTTAGTAGTTTTCTCAGCTAACTCCGAATGTCTATTTAACGCTAATGCAATGTATTTCACGGGGCAAATTTCGCCGTGCCGCCAAATTTAGGAATAGTTTTAGCTCAAAATGTGTCCCAGGCCCGTGGGCTTCCAGATGTCCTGCATGAGCCAGTTTGTTTACATTGCGACAGGTATTCAACCGTATCTGCCTTGACATGAAAGTTTGGGCTTTCTTTTCTTTCTTTTTTACTGGTTAGTCTGTTATCTACCATTTGTCTGCTGCATTGTGCCATTAAACCAGCAAGTAGTGTTTTAATTTGCATTTCCCTGTTAAACGTCGACGATCCCAAGGTAGCTGTATGTCATGATTATCTCACACGTGAAATCTAAACACCATGTGGTTTAGTTATAACACATAACAAAACGTTTTGCTACATTTTCTGTTACCAGCTCATGCCCTTTTTAAAGTGTGGAAGTTTAGGTCTACTGGCACCTCAAATTGTCACATTTTCAGTATTGTTTATATTATGTATCAGGTGTTGTTTGCTTTACTGCGAATCCGTGGTGAAGACATTACATATCAAAAAGTATGTTTTGTTTGTATCCTTGTGTGTGCATGCAGGGTGAAAAAATACAAGCAGCATAGTAGGAGAAATGCTCCATGTCTGGCAGTGAGTGTCATGTTGGTGATAGTTGGGGGAAAAAAAACAAAGTGTTTACTTAAAATTGTGTAAAATTTAAACAAAGTTAGGTCTAGCAGCCTTTGCTTGCAACTCTGCCCTCCTTATTGGCAGTCTGGTTTGCTTTACCCATAAGGGTCTGATTGACCCATATGCCGTGTTACATATTTGCTTCTGACCAGGGAACTCTGTTGTATGTCATCCTCTTCCTTTTCTCCGTGAGTTTTCAGTTTCTCGCGGCTATCAGCTACATCAAAGACAAACCTAAAATTATTAAGAACTAAAAGCAGTGATGCTGACTGGTGTTTGTCCCATCTAAATTGATGGCATGCCAAAGCAAATGTATTACTTAATACAGTACTCAGAGACTAGGTTGTTATAAATGACCCATATATTTACATTCAAAAGCACCAGTACGAACTCTAACAACTCTGGATAAAACCTGCCTGTTATTTACGTCAAATGAATAACGTCTGTTGTCTTAATAACAGGCTCTCATGCTGGAGAATCTGCAGAGGACCTCCACCCCTCATGCTGGACTGCAGCCAAACTCACAGGTAAATGTCTCATGGGTGCTTTAAATTTAATTTTAATGGCTGAAGCCTTTTCACATGTAATGACATCTTAAATATAAATAAATAATGAATATCTTTAATCAATTAATTTAACAGATTATGTTTTAAATTTGGCTGTTAATCTAATGACTAATTTATCAATTCTAAAGATATTTTTTTAGAACTCCATTAAAATGTGAATAAAACTAATTTATCCAAAATAAATATCAAAACTTGTCTCATTAGTAGTTCAGAATTTTATTCAATTTTAATTCTGAAAAAGAGGCACATTAAAATAATGATAATAGTAATGTATTTTATATTTGTCACTGTCACTATTTGTCACTGCTTTGTTATTAAATTAATAATAGAACTATTTGGCACATGCCTGAACAGATAAAAACTGGACCTCAAATTCTGAAGGATTTTTGTGACACAGATTAATTTAAGCACTGTATGTCAACACTTTTCCTGAACTGGAGAATCAGTATTTTTACCAGACTTAATTTAATTTTTCAATGACAAATGTGCTATTTTACATCATTTGGGAACATTATTTTTCACTATCTCTGTGAACAAATAGTTGGAAAAGCTAGAGAAGATTATAAATAAACAACAAACAGAAAAGGTAAAGAAGTTGTCTGGGGAGGGACTATAACCAATCAATTTTGGGAAAGTTATTACTCTTCATTAGCTTAAAAGAGGCTAGGGCTGTTTCTCAATCTGCGTTCTTGTCTGTACTTGTTTTCTTTTGGACTTGTGAAACGTCATAAGTCGCAGCCAAAGTACTGTTCCAATTCAAACGTCCGCATCTAGCCAAGTACAGTCAAATACCTGGATGTGTTCTCGCTCCGCCCGTTTTACCGAGCCTGCATTGGTGGTGACTTGAGTGGACTTGCATTTTGCCGCCAAAAAGTGGAAATGTTGGACGAAAAATACTGCTGTTCTTGTGTCACATAGTAGTTTTAAGAGTTTATGTGGAAATATAGTTGTTAAAACTCCAAATATGTGGTTGATTTCTCAAGTCAGAGCTGATTTTAAAAATTGCTATGACATTGCTTAAACAGCCTAGTTCCCTAACTTGCTTTATTAACCTCCACAGTCATCACCATCTTTTCTTTTCCTAACAACCAGTCTGAAAACTAAAAAAAATAGTTAACTAACTATTAGTATAGTCTGCGTACAGGACAGAGCTGTAGGCTACACCAGTTTAGTCTAAGCTTGTAATGTTGTCAATACTTGACAAAGTAGGCAGTAATGAAATGCAGCAGCTAGAGCTTCATATAGGCTAAATTGAGCTAATGTTAAGTTACATAGCAACGAAAAGTCATAGTCTACTGTCAGCTTTCCTGCTCAGCTGCGCAGTCTGAAGGGGGAGAGTGGGGGACTTTTGCAAGCACTAACCAGCTTCACTGTTCCAGCAGTTGGGGAAACAACAGACATACTTTTCTTTGTCTTGAGAAGCTGACACGCTGTAACTGACACTGCCAGAATATTTTCCTCCACTTGCATTCACCATCACTTTCTGCCGCTCGGACAATCAAACACTTGCTACGCACCTCCTGATTCCTTGCAGGTGTTATGCTGCTCTTATGACAGCACCTGCCATGTAGATGTTCTTTGAAGAACATTTGAAGGCGTTAGCGAGTGAAACCATTATTAGTGTATAGTGTAATGATCGTGGGAAATTTTAGTAGCAGCGGCGCACCTCCGCTCCTGAATGAATATAGGGGAAACACTGGTAAAGTTACATTACCATAACAGTAGCAGTGCAGAAATTACTCTTGACATTGGGGTGATGAAGAAACATTTAGTGCTTACTACTGACAGAAACACGTTCCTCGTGTTGATAATCCTAATTTATCATGCTTGTGTGAGTAAAAGTCAACAGGATTTGTGTTGCTGTCTTGCTGCAGTTGGCACTCTGGGATGATTTTGCTTCAGCTGTTCATGCATAGCAGTTGTACTGCTGTGATAAACCATTTCCAATTTACACTGCTTACAGAACACTACATTGTCTAAAAAATATTCCCAAACGTTATATGGTTGTATACAGGTTGTTTTAGCTGCAGAATGTATTTGCTAGTGGCCTTGAAGGTTTTTCTCTCTGGTCTTTAGATTGGTGAGGAAATGAGCCAGAACAGCTTTATCAAGCAGTATCTGGCTAAACAACAGGAGCTCCTAAGGCAGCGTCTGGAGAGAGAGGCTCGTGAAGCATATGAAACAAATGGTAAGTGTTATTAGAATACTTCACTGCAACTAAGTAAGTACCTGCACAAATTTTGGGTCATTATGCAAAACATTTTTGTGATTTTATGTATTTGTCTTTTCTAAACAGACCAAGAGGACCACACAGAAGTTAATAACAGTACCTCATGCCCTCCCCAGCCCCAGGTCAGACATCACTTTCTTTTCTTACATATTGCCATCGGTCACATTTTCTAATCTCTTTGTCCAGAGATTTTCTGTACTCCAAAAGATGTTGCACATTTGAAAGGAACCTGCTGGTAAGAATTGTGTCAGATTATTTGAAAGGAAGAACAGTGGCATAGTGCTGTGACCAAATAAGTCTCATCTTTGTTTCTATCCCCATCAGGATGTCACACCAGCTGTGGCTGAGCAGCACAAGCCACCAGGCCCCTCTGGTGCAGAGGGATTGTTTGGTGCAGTGAATGAGGGAGAGGGTAACAGGAACCAGGAGGCTGCCATTTCCGGTCCTCCTGCTTCTGGCTCTGTGGCCATGCGGGTTCCTGGTGGTGAGCAGCGGCCAGAGAGAGGTTCTGCATCAAACGAAGTCGCTGCTGATAGTGACGACGAGGATAGTGATGATGGCGAGGAGGATGGTGACGATGATGACTGGGACAGTGGTGCTCGGAGGAGAAACCTTAGAGAGCCAGCCAGAGTGCCCACAACTAGAGAGAGGTCTGGAGCATCCTGTCAACCCCAGCAGCAACACATGCCTTCCCTTTTGTCCCCTCAACTCCGCCAGCCAACACCTCCTCCCTCCCCACCCCCAGAGTTATCATTCCCATTGCCTGACACCCCTAAGCAGAGCCCCCCCAGTCCAGATGTAGCCCCAGCGAGGCGCTCACCCAGTACCTCCAGCTCTGGTTCCTCCAGCAGCGGCAGCCGCAGTAGCAGTCCAGAGCCACAGAGGAGTGGACATGCTGAGCGCAAACCTGGCCCGCTCACCCTTCTGGCACGTAAGATGGCATCAGAAGGTGCTTTTTCTGGTGCAGGTTGGCACGGGGGCAATGGGGAAGGCAATAGGCAGGACAGCAGTTCACCTTCGGCTACATCATTTCCTGGCAGAGGGCCTCCAGAGGGTCTGGTGTCTGCCATCACTCACACTGCCAACACTGCAGGCCACGTGCCATTTCCCATGATTCCAGGCACCAACCAGGGTGTCGCAGGAGCACATTCGTCCCATATTCAAGTACCTGTGAGTGTGCTCAAGGCCACTGCAACAGAAGATAGGGACAGAGAGAGAGACGCTGAGGTAGAAAGAGAAAAGGCACTTGAGCTGGAAAGGCAAGAGAAGCAGAGGAAACTTGAGCAAGAACGAGCATTGGAGGAAGAGCGGGAAAGGGCTCTTGCACTGGAGAGAGAGGAAAGAGAGAGAGCTCTGGAGAAAGAGAGAATTGAACGACAGCAGGCCTTAGAGAGAGAAGAAAAAGAAAAGGCTTTGCAGCGGGAGAGGGAACTTGCTCTAGAACGAGAAAGGCAGGAGAAGGAGCTAGCTTTGGCTAAAGAGAGGGAAGAACGAGAGCAAGCCTTAGCAAAAGAGAGGGCCCTGGAGCTTGAGAGGCAGAAGGAACTTGAAAGACAGAGAGCACTGGAGCAAGAACGTCTGCAGAGAGAAAAAGAGGAGAGAGAGAAGCGAGAAAGAGAAGAAATGGAGAAAGCGATGGAACTAGAAAGAGCCAAGGCTTTGGAGCAGGAAAGGAAGGAGAAAGAGAGGGCTCTTGAGCAAGAGAGGTTAGAGAGGGAAAGAGCTTTGGAGGCTGAGAGGAAGGAGAAGGAGAGGGTCGAGAGAGAAAAGGCTTTGGAGCAGGAAAGGGAAAGGTTAGAGAAGGAGAAAGCCTTAGAGCAAGAGAGAATAGCGAAGGAGAAAGCTTTGGAGCAAGAGAGGCTAGAAAGAGAGAGAGCCCTGGAACAAGAGAGACTAGAGAAAGAGAAAGCCATAGAGCGAGAGAGAATTGAGAGAGAGAAAGCCATAGAGCGAGAGAGAATCGAGAGAGAGAAAGCCTTAGAGAAAGAGAGAATCGAGAGAGAGAAAGCCTTAGAGAAAGAGAGAATCGAGAGAGAGAAAGCCTTAGAGAAAGAGAGAATCGAGAGAGAGGAAGCCTTAGAGAAAGAGAGAATAGAAAGAGAAAAAGTTCTAGAGCAAGAAAGGTTGGAGAGGGAGAAAGCCCTCGAGCAAGAGAGGTTAGAGCTTGAGAGGAAGGAAAAGGAGAGAATTCAGAGGGAGAAAGCATTGGAGCAGCAGAGGTTAGAGAAGGAAAAGGCCTTGGAACGAGAGAGGGAGGAAAAACAGAGGGTGGAGAGAGAGGCAGCTCTGAAACAGGAGAGGATGGAGAAGGAAAGAGCCGAGAAAGAGAGAAAGGAGAGGCTGGAGAGGGAGAAAGCTCTAGAGCAGGAGAAACTTGAAAGGGAGAGAGCCTTGGAGAAGGAAAGGAAGGAGAAGGAGAGGGCTCTCGAACGTGAGAGGTTAGAGAAAGAGAAAGCCATTCAGAAAGAAAAGGAGGAACAGGAAAAAGAGAGAGCTAGGATGGCTGAAAAGGAGAGGGAGAGTCACCTCCCTCCATCCAAACGTGGCCGTGAGATTGGTCTCACCCCCCTGCCCACTCCTCCCCCCCTCTCCACAGGACCAGGTAGAAAGTCATCGACTGAGGCAGGAGAGCAGGAAGACGTCCGTGCTCCAATGTCCCGGAGTGAAGCAGCAGAATCCGGTGCACCCGTGTCACCGACACCTCTGTCGCCTCAGTCCTCATTCAAGAAGTTCCGGTTCTTAAGGGACACCCCACTTCAACCGCAATCTTCCTCCACTTCTATGGTTATCAAGCGGCCCCGTAACTTCTCTGATACCCCCCAGCCTCAGGCTTCACCTGTCTCCTCCTCTGCCAATGTCGGGGAACAACAGCAGGAAGGAATCCACCCCTACACTGAACAGGAGGTTGTTGCTGGGCCACCTGGAGCAGTGGGGATCCAGCCCAGTGTTAATACCACACTAGTCAAGAGTCCCAAAAAAGAAGGGACCACAAGCCTCATATCCGAGAATAAAGAAAAAGCAGATTCAGTGAAGATGGAAAAGGCTGCCAAGGAATCCACCAGAAAAGCAGAAGAAGTGGATGAAAGTAAGGGCCCTTCAAGGCCTGTGGATACTGCAAAGCAGAGAGCAAGAGATGCAAACAAGGAAGAAAAACAAGCACGACAAAGATCATCGTCTAATGATTCCTCTTCCTCAGAATCGGACTCTGGGTCCTCATCATCTCGGTCCTCTAGCTCATCTACATCCTCTCTTGAGAAAACCTCCACTTCAAGAGGTAGAAGGGTAAGTGGTCTGAAAGAAATCCCTCTCTCTGTCCCTGACATACATTGCCTGTAAACTTACAGGCAAGAAGCATTTTCTTTGTAACAGGAATAGCGTCTTTGAAGGCATTGCAGTGTTACAGGAAAAATGTATTCACTTGTGACAGGCCCTTGCCTCAGACGTTTTAACCACCACGGCAGTCAGCTTTGCATAGTAATGCCTTACTTATCAATATTTGTTTAAAGTCACTCAAGATGGCTTTAAGACAACAGTCGCCCCACTGCCGTCTACTACATTGATTTGCTGAGATAAACTAATGTTGGTGCAGTCTTTGCATTCATACTGCTATTGGTGGCTACATGTCCGAAGACCTCTTTCATCCATATGTCTAAATGCACCATAAGGCCACTGTTGATGCATACTAATCGCTGTTTGTATCAAAGTATATTTTATTTAAAAAAATGCCTAAAATGTTGCTCTGTCGTTTGTCTCTTTTAGGAAGGGAAACATGACAGAGATTCTTCTCCACAGCAGAAGGTGACATTAGAGGCTCAGGCTGAGGCTTCAAAGGAAACTCCAAAAGCCTCCCCTTGCAAAAGAGAGGTGTCTGTAGAGAAGAGTAACAAAACTGCTGATGGAGACAGTCACATCAAGGTCAGTTGGTCCTAAGTTGACACAAAACCAATTTTTTTCACATCTATGGCAACTATATAAATCCACATCGTACCTGAAACTTAACCAATTTACCTAAGATCAAGTTGTGTTACAGACAAATCTCATCATGGCTTTGTATCTGGTAATTATTTTTCCTTTAGTGGTAATATCATAACCATAGACTGTATAAAAGACATGGACAGGGTCACTGTGATGTCAGCCATTAGTTTGTGGGCTACCATTTTGAAGCCTCGAGTTTGGCATTTTGGCCATCGCCGTCTTGGATTTGAACAAAATCCACGCGTCTTTGCATTGACTTTGTATGTAAACACACCGCTCCAAACACTCGCTTCACTTTTGGTCTGAAAGCACCATCAGAACGGTTGCAGGTTTAAGGCACTAACACATTGGCTTCACTTTTCAGACTCAGATGTTCTCTATTGAGCTTAACTAATTGAAAATCTTTGACATACACTATATTCTTTCCATCTTATTTAATTTCCTGTCCTTTTAAATCCCCAGAAACCGTTCTCTGAAGCATCGATCAGCGAGGAGACACAAAGGAAGAGAAAGGACAGCGAGGGAGAGGAGGGAAAGGACAAACAAAGGTCTGCTTTTAAGTCTTTGTGTTTTGAAACACATCTTATACAATGTCTGTTTGTGTGTCAGATGTGCATATATAGGTGAGTGAATATGTTCCCTTATAATACTGCAGGCTGTGAACAGTCAAGCTCTATTGGACATCTACTGTATAGATACTATGACACATACTACAAGTTTAAAGTGGGGTTTCTAGTGTTGCAGTTTCATGAAAGATGGTTTAGTTTTGTCAAGTCATTTGGTTTATAGTATTTTCACACCCATCCTGAGTGGTCTGCATTAGATTGATCACTGTTGTTGGTCCAGCCCCTTCCTATAACAGATCGTATTTAAAGACCATATCTAGCAATAAAAAATACTAGATCCATCCCTTTTTATAAGGGAAAAATCAAACACTAATGAATATTTCTTTCTGGCAGCTTGATATCACATGCAAGACTGTTCAAAGAGTGGTTGTTTAAGCTAAGGAAACAAATTTGATTTTGTGGTTGTGGTTGTTAAATCAATTTTAGTACTCTCACTTGTTAGTAAAGGAGGTTTTCATTCCAATATACCTCCTCTAGTTGTCATGCACATAATATAATTTTCCACCAAAATAGGGCTGCACGATTTGGAGAAAAAGACATATTGTCATTGTGGACAATATTGTGATTTGATTATAATGGAACAAAGGGTACTATGAGTCTACTTGCTTGATTGTCAAGGAAAATGCACAGAATACTGACATTTTGAAATGTATTTTTCTCAACTTGAACAAAGTTAAACAATAAACAATATTTATACTAACTTTTGTAAAACAGATGTAAAAAAGAAGGGGTATGTGTTGCTCTCAGGAGGAGACTGCTAAAAGGAGCAAATATTGGCACACTGGCATCCTGGATCTAAATACATCTGTTTACTGCAGAGGCTCTATCCACAACCTGGAGGAGGAACTAGTGTAAATGATTGTATTAGTATAATATTAACATAACATTAAATAAAGAGTATAATGTTCAGTTAATAGCATACTGTTAGTATAATGTTAATATATTAATTACTATATTCATTATAATTTCATCTAATAGTATACTATTTTACCACTAGTTGAATATTAAATTCAGTTACAGCTGTTTCATTTCTGTGGGTTGTTTTTATTATTTTTATATTATACGTGTGCTAGCAAAATTATCTATATTGGTCTCTAATTTGTTAATGCTAGTACTAACTTGTCAATAATCATATTGTTCAATACAGAGATGCTCACAAGTCTCTGAGAAAGAGTCCAAGTCAAGTCTCTTGTGCTTATCATGAATGTTGTATCACCTGCTGTGTTCAATCCAGGCTGCTTATAACACTGCATAGCTATAAGGGATTCTATAACTGTAACCTGTTTTTCACTTACAGACCACAGCAATATAGCCTAATGTACAATGCATCTACAACTAATGACAGCTTATAAACTACTGTAAGTCAACACATCCCCCAAACTCTTAAACCAGTTTAAGGTTATAACTAAATAAAACTGTAACGTTGCATGATCAACAATAAACCTGTAACCTCTTTTTCACAGAGCACAACCATGTAATGTGCAATGCAATTAATGACCGCTTAAAAACTACTGTAAGTCAACACATTCTCCAGACTCTCAAACCAATGTAACATTAACTGAATAAATCTGTAACCTGTTTGCAGCCAACGGTAATAATTAACGTGATGGCAGACAGCGGGATGTAAATGTCGCAGTTAACCTCCCGTAGGTCGTAGCTAAAGCAAGAAGCAAGCTAACGTTAGATGGCCAGTGCCGAGCTAAACATGTTCACTAACCTCAGGTTACTAACCTATTTTGCGTTCAGCGCTTCTTTGTTTGGGCCTTGTTGTATGAAGTTTTAAAGCCAAAGTTTATGATGAATGGCTCAGCAGCTGACACTGCTGTTTGTTGTCCTCTCTCACGCGTGGCAGCGCGCAGCAGATACCTACGTGTTACGTAGGTAGGTCGTAGGTAACGCAGGGAGGGGGTTAACAGCAAGCTCATCAGACATTCCCTAAAACAAAAGTTGCAAAACAAAAGGCAGGAATACAACTAACATTAACTGGCCAGCAATCCAAAGCCAAACCTTCTTTATCTAATCCGTTTTCTTCTGTCTTACCGCCGACACGCAACGTTACTGAAACGTAACTCTTTCACAGAGCGACACCGGCTCATTTTTGCTGCTTAAATCGCACATTTTTTGCGGATATGCAATCGCACATAAGGACATTGCGATTAGATTAATCTTGCAGCCCTACACCAAAAACTCACTGGAAATGTCACAAAAGGCCAGTTTTAAAAGACTAATTGAAAAGAAATGTTCCTGACAAACAATGACCCTGCAGGACCTTCCTCTGCGTCTCCTCTGAGTATTTGTTCCACTCACTGTTTTGATACTTCCACTCCACCAGACATACCGAAACATTTTACATTAAAAAAAATCTAATTCTGCATGTGCACAGAGGGAACAAATTGATTCAATAAATTAACCACATTTTTTTCGATGGGAAGGTGTAATGAAATTCCTTGATCAGTTAAAGAACATTTATGGGTGGCCTCAGTATTCTTGGACATTGGACAATATTCTTATAGGACCAGTTAATGGAAACACGTGCTGATTGACATTTCTTTGTCAGATTTCTCTTGTAAATCTGCTTTAAACTTGCGCAGGATTTAATGAGAACACACTCACCTGTTTTATGAGTTAATGGTTAATGCAGCCTTGACATGAAGTGATTTCAGGGCTTTGTGTTGGCCACTTAATTACCTTGATTTTGTTGTCCATCAGCCATTTTGCCACAACAACTTTGTTTGGGGTCATTGTCCATTTGGAAGACCCATTTGCCACAAAGTTTTACCTTCCTGGCTGATGTCTTGAAATTCTGCTTTAATATATCCACATAATTTTTCTTCCTCATGATGCCATTTATTTTGTGCACCAGTTCCTCTTGCAGCAAAGCACCTTCACAACATGATGCTTGAACTGATGTTTGTTTCATCATTTCTTTGTCCCCATGTGCAGTTGCAAACCATAGTCTGGCTTTTTTATGGTGGTTTTGGAGAAGTGGCTTCTTTTTTGTTGGACCTTTCAGATTATGTCGATGTATGATTTGTTTATTGCGGATAAGGGGTGGTAGAGTAGTGGATTAGAAGCATGCCTTTGGAGCTCAATTCCCCACTGTGACACGTCCACCAATGTGTCGCTGAGTAAGACACTGAACCCCTAGTTGCTCCAGAGGTGTGCAACCTCTGAAATATATAGCAATTATAAGTTGCTTGGGATAAAAGCGTCAGCTAAATGTAATGAGAATTTGACACCTGTTTCCTCCAGAAGCTTCACAAGGTCCTTTGATGTTGTTGTGGGTTAGATTTGCACTTTTCGGGCAAAAGTATGTTCATCTCTAGGAGACAGAACCCGTCAGGCATTTGGAAATTGCTCCCAAGCATGAACCAGACTTATAGAATTCCACAATTATTTTTGTTGTGGCTGATTTATTTTTATTTTTGCCCATGGTGAGGTACACCTCCAATTGATTTAAATGATGTCAATTAGTTTATCTGACGCTTCTAAAGCCATGTTTCCCCAAACTGTTTAAAGGCAACTTTGTGTACATAAACCTCTGGCCCACTGGAAGGGTGATGTAGTGAGTCTGTAAACAATTGTTGGGAAACAAACTATAATTTGTTGTGGTTAAAAAATGAGTTTTAATGACTTGTATGTAAATTTTTGACTTCAACTGTTGGATCAACTCCACATTGACCAAATGGAAATACCAATTTATTCTGCATAAGTTATTGGTTGTGACTGTGAGTCTTAATTTTATAACAGGACAGTGACTATAAATGTGCATTAAAGCTATGCCAGGCTTATCAAATATGAAAAATCAGGCAGTGCTTCCCTTTAATAATCACCAGACCTCAGCTCCACTGAACATCTCTGGTGCTCCCAAAGGACACAGGTGTAATATGGAAATCAGTGCAAAAAAAGTCTGCAATATTGCTGTAAAATTCCTCTGGCTGAAGACACTTTTTACATTATTTCATAAATAATGAAATATTAAAAACTCATTGGTAGTGAAGTCACAGTTTATTTATCTTTCTCTAATGAAAGCAGTGTTGTGCTGATTCTGTGGCCATTTGTATGTTGTCCAGTGTTGTTTTGTAAGCTCACTTGATCATTGCCGTCAGATCATATACTCCTACTCCCAGAGCCAGGGAATCGGTCTGCTTGTGAATGTGAGTACAAACAGCGACGTCAAGAAATGTCGTGTGCTGAATTTCTCATCAGGCGATTGATGAGCCTGCCTTTAAGCCGGTGTGGCTGTGAGGATGCGGGTCCTTTTATTATTTTTTCTCCCCCCCCCCATTCGTTGCAACATGGCTGTGCTCCATCGATGGCTTTAGCTGCCGATGCCGGCCTGTGGTTTTCCTCAAACAGCCGCTCAGCTAAACAGCAGGCGAGGGTTTGTCCGCCGCAGGTTTTGGTTGACACCCGGTACGGACATGAATGCATTCAGAGAGGAGTAGTCTCCGGTGAGAGGAAGGTAGGAGGATGGGGGGAGAGAGGTGGCTCGTTGCGACGCAGTCGTTTTAGCAGCAGTCGCAGTCTGAATGCAGCGTTTTTACCGAGCACAGTTTATATTTGCTGTGAAGTTCCTCCAACTTAATGTCCAGTCGAAATGAGCGGACGTGTTCACGTGCGCGCGCAAAGGGATGACATGACCCCCCCCCCGAGGCGCGTTTCTTTGTCACATATGGTGTCACTGTGGTTGAGCGTTTGGGTCGGTGTGAACGGACTCGGCACGCCTGGAGGAGGACTGCGGTGTCTCTGCATTTAGTGACTCTTCTCCTCGGCTCAGTTCTTTGACCACATTAAAAAAATTAAGAGCAACGTATTTGTGAAATGACAAAGTGACTGTGTGAGATGCGTTTTAGGCGCAGTTATTTTGGCATGGCCTCGCTGCTGTTTGTGTATGTCAGTGGAGTAGATTCAACTGCTGAGATTTATTTAAATATGTGTTTCAGTGCTGCCTTTTTTGTTGTTTGTTTAAAAATTATATGTGTTCATAGTATCTTACATGTTAGTTAGTTAGTTAGTTTAAGAAAATTTAATGTTTAGCCTATTTAACTACAGATTACATGTGCTTCATGTAATTCCTGACAGTTACCAAGGCACTCCATAATGTTTTTATATAAATACTCATATTTTGAGAGGGTTTGTAATTATATGAAAGTTTTAATTATTCATAGAGCTCTCTTAATATTCATTGATGATTCATTGCTTCTATTGAACTTTGCATTTATGCTGTTACATTTTTTTTTAGCCTTGATACATTTTTTATTACCTAATTTAAACATTTATTGAAAGATTTTTTTTCTCCGTCCTAATGGTCTGCTCATCTGTTTCCTCTTTTTCCTGATGTGTATTTTTAACATTACGCAGGCAGGTGAAGGAGACTGCCATGGCAGAGCCAGAGAAGCTTCCAGAGACCAGCGAGGAGGTAAGGCACCAGAAGAACCATGAATCATCTTGGTCCTTAAAGCTGTTGGTTGCTGAGGACTTGGATGGACGGACTCATTTGATCTTTTATAGTTTTTATTAACCTGGATATATTACATTATAGGTCATTTTTTATATGTCTATAGTCTTTGTTGGAAATCTTTTATATACATTTAAAAATATTTCCACAGATTACTTAATGAGCCCTTTCCACAAGTGGTAGAATGTGTGTAGGAAATTTAATTTTTTAATTTGGCTGTTTGTAAAACCTTTTGTTGGCACTGTCATAGGCAGAAACAGCAAGGGTATTTTCTCACTGTGGCTGATGTTTAAACCCCAAATGATTGCTTTGTTATAAAGGTGCTCATGCCTCTTCCATTGCCCCTATTGGTACCTGCATACTACCTCTGCCACTACTTCTACTACTACTGCTACTGCTGCACCTGTTCCACTGTCCCCAAGAATCCAGAGTTCACCACAGATAAGCCCCCAAGGCTACACTGCAGAGGGACACCCCTGGCAACAAAGGCTGCCTCATTTTCATGGATATGTCTTGCAAGAGCTATTGATTGGACCAGAAGATTCAAAGAAGGGGTTGGCTAGTCAATGTGGCCCACCTCTCTCAGCCTTTTATGCACTAATCTGGCCATGTGCCATTAAAATCAACATGGAGAAGAGACAAGCAAGGATGTGTGCTTACATCAAGTCAAGACTGCCGTGAAACCCTCTCAGCAACCAAGTAGTTTTCAGGTTGTTTCACTTTGAGACATTTTAAACCCACTTCCAAAGAAATGTGGGATATTATGGACATGCCTTTTAATGTTGTTGGTGAACTGTAACATGCTTGACAAAAGGACATTTGGGATTTTGTTAATCTCTTGGAATGGGATACAGATTTCTCCAGCAAATACCTTTATTGGATGCTAATGAGTTTTCAAAGAGGCTATTGCTTTCATCTGGACTCAGTGGGCTTGACAGTTTTTATTTGAACTGAAGAAGGACATTTGAGTCCCTTTCTACAACAGCCATTGCCAGATATTTTTTTATGCTTTGTGACTCTCAGTATGAACTTACTGCGCCCCAAACACAACTGAACATAAAAATCAAAATCCTGGATTTGTGTGCACAGTGACTGTTGACAACATACAACATCTGGTCTCCAACTCATGGGACTCATTGTTTCTGTCTGTTATACGAGCCTGCCACATTTTTAAATGGACTAATGCCCAAAACACCTGAGGATGAATGCTTGGGCTAAAAGCATTTCAAAGCCCCAATGAACTATTGAATCCATCATGCCAGCCAACCAGCTATCAGATTTCCGTCCAAACATCTCAGCCACCTTTGATTGGACCCTTGTTGCCTAGATACAGTACATGCAGTCGTGATTGGGCCATATCCAAACCAGTAAGGATCAGGTGTCAGTGGTACCAGGGAATAAGTAGACGTTTACTCAATGCTATATTTCTTAGTTATTTTGAAAATGCTTAGTTTCCAGTGATACACTCTGTAGTCTTTGCTGGGAGTTGCAGCATTAAAATTGTTTTATCATATTTGTGGCTACTGCAGTTTAATCAACATGGTTCAAAATTGTTTTACAATCTTTAATCTTCGTTGACTTTCACTTATGTGAAACTAATTTGAGTTATTGTGTTTCTATTTAGTCTGTGTTTTAACTCTGGGATTTAAACTGCAGTATTTCCACCAGATCCTTGTTTGTATGATAGAGACTGCAACTACATTTAACTCTTCAAATGCAAGTTAAATTAATTAAATAATCTAAATGGGTAGATTATTATTATCAAATAATTATGAATGGCATGCAGTTACTTACCAGTACAGTACAAAAACAAGCTCCGTGCCTTTCAGTAGACCGAACTTGATAAAGACTTTACACAGCAGTTTCTATCATTCACTCTCTAAGTCCCTACTTGTCCCCTTTCCTTGTTCCACTTGTCCTTTAACCTGTCCTTAACCATTTATCTCCACCCTTGGTGTCTGCCTCTCACCTCTCCCATGCATCCTGGGTTTTTATCTTCTTGTGTTTCAGACACCAAAGGCCTTCTCAGCGCGTAAGATCTCTCTTAGCAGTGAGTACACCCTCCCAATTTGCTGTCCTCTTTACCAGCATTTATAGCCGATCGTTAGTGTTGGTTTTTGATTATTTTTAATGTATATTAATGGAAATCTTACTCCAAAGCGTGGGAACAAATTTTAAATGTAGATTGCATGATGACGATCATCTATATATCAAATATATGTGGCCAGAAGACTGTGGGCATGGATTGTTGATGTCTTATATGTATTATACTGCGGATGCCAGGTGCATGAGGATTTCATTTGTGTTCTTTTTCTCTTTCTCAACAGGCAGTAAATCATCCCCAGGCACTGGCAGTGTAGAGGGCGAGCAGGAGTCTGGGGCCGCAGCCGGTCGCAAGAGGAGGTGGGGCTCCAGCACAGCTGTCACTGCCAAGAAACCTTCCATCAGCATCACCACAGATTCACTCAAGGTATTTTCAGCATAGTAAAACAGTTTTCAATGCTAGCTAGCAGTCCTTTTCAGACAGGAAGCTATTGATGCACCAAGTTAATCATTTAAGACTTCATGAAACGATGACGCGGACACTCACATTTGGCTTTCTGATTCGGTCTTATCTGTCATGCAAAGCATAAACACGATGCAACTGACAGCTTTTTAGTTTCAGTTTTTTTATTAAAATATCTTGTACTGTGTAAATAACACTTGTGCTACTGTGCGTGTTGCCGTATTTTACTTTGCGACGACTCCCAGGCTGCCGCCACAGTCGCTTTGTACTTCCGTGTTACTTTCAGTAACATTTTAACCTTGTTGTCGGTCAGTGCAAAAAAAAAAACCTGGTGTGGTTACTCGTCTGTATTACTTTTTTCTTTCGCCAGATCTTCTGTAACTGCGGAGTAGACCATCTGCTTTATGTTTATACCGGCATGCGCATGCCCAGTGTAACTGAACGGCGGCTAGATGTGCGTTTTCAATCATTTCAATATAGACTGAGATCAACTCTGATATGCAGCTAAAACACTGCTGTGGTAGGAGAAGATCATATTCATTATAAAACGGTTTTTAAAAATATTATAGTTTGGATGTAGCCTAATTTTACCCCACTCTTCTCTCTATTCGTCTTAAGTCAACTCTCCCGTTTTCCCCGGAATTCTCACGGATTTTTCCGTTCTAACCCGGTATTCTCCCGTTTAAATGTTTAATCTCACGTATTTTGAACTTTTATAAAATCTAATAAAAACCTGCAGGCCGTATTTAAAGTGTTCGCTACTCTCTCCTCTGGCAAAGCAGTAGGACTATGTAAAAGATGTTTTAATAAATGAAAACAACCCACTGAAATAATATTAGGCCAATACTAGTGGTAAACTAGGCTATATGAAATTATAATGAATATAGTAACTATAAGTAATATTAACAATATACTAACAGTGTAATGTAGAATTAACATTGTACTTATATTTATTTAAATTTCCCTTATTTTTAAATCTCAATGACAGTTTTGACTCTGTAGCCCACTCTCCCTCTCTCTACTCCTCTCAATACCCCCTAAAACCCACAGAACCTGCCCGAGCTTTCCAGAACAAAAAGCTACTACTTCAGAGTTTATCATCGACCCATGATTCCTGAGCTCCTTTATCTCCTAAATATTTTGGCTTCAGCCTGTTTTGTTGCAGTTTTATAGTTGGAAGTAAATTTATGAAGATGCTGTTTGTTCTGTTTTTGTAGTTTATTCCACAGGAAAGCTATATTTGTTAAGCTATAAGATGTTTGCAATAACCAGGCAAAGGCTGCTATGGTTGAAGTTGCTAAGACAGAGAGATGATTCATGATACTTCATCATGTATTAATTTTAATACTTAATACATTGTTTTTAGGACTAATTAGCGTCAAATATGATTTAACTTGAAACGCGATGGACAAGAAAACTAATGTTTATTTATTGATGGCAGTGAAATGTGGTATTAAACAGGCCTGGGACTGTTGATCATCAAGCTGCAGCCTCTGCTGCTCTCTGTCGGCTCCTACATACACACAGCAGCCTGCGGTGGAGACGGTGAAGTTAAGTTAGCTCCAAACTACTCGAGTTGCCTACGCTCATTACGTGCAATAAAACCTTTGCGAGTAAATGCTCCGTATTTGTATAGCGCCTTTCTAGTCTTTTCGACCACTCAAAGCGCTTTTATGCTACATCTGCATTCACCATTCACACACATTCATTCACTGAGCCTAAGTGCTCAAACAGAAACTAACATTCATACACTGGCAGAACAGCCACCTGAGGCAATTCGGGGTTCAGTATCTTGCACAAGGATACTTTGACATGCAGCCTGAAGGAGCCGGCAATTGAACCGCCGACCTTCCGATTAACGGGGCACCCCGCTCGACCTCCTGAGCCACAGCCGTCCGCCCGCCTGGCCTTACCAAATAACCGTCACCAAATAATAGTAAAGTATTGTTAGTGGTATCAATAAAGAATCAGATCGTTAAGCATTCTCAATAAGGGTATCAATATTATCTGTGTTCTTTGCCCTTAGTCTCTTATCCCAGACATTCGGCCATGTCTCGGTCAGGAAGCAGTAGTGGACCTGCACCCGGAGGAAGCTGTCCTTTCTGGGGCTGAGGATGAAGAGAGGGAGCGCTCCGACCAGGACCTGCAGATTCGACGCACTGTCACACAGGTTGGTCTACAGCACTTAACTGTTTTAAATGAATGGCAGGTTTGAAGTGCTCCCCATCAAAGTCTGAGGTTACATGAATCTCTTAATCAAGATTTGCTTGTGTTGATGCCTTCCTTCTTTTGCAGGTGGTGCACTCAGAGAGTCAGGAGAATGGACAGAAAGAGGCAAAGAGGGGTAGACATGAGGATTTGGAGGAGGAAGACCCACGGGGAGACAGAGAGAAGACAAGGGAGCATGAAGAGAAGATGGACACCTCATTTCCTGAAGCCATGGAAACCCAGTCTCCATCACATACCAGCCATGATGTAGAAATCAACACTGGTAATGGATCTATGACCAGACGGTCTATATGTCGAATTATATTAATCAGATTTTTACATTTTTTTTTTCTTTTTCTTTTTTTTTTTATACACAACACAACAATAGACAATAATCTACATACTGTCTTTACATGTTGCATTTAAATCTAATGTTCTTCAAAGGTTTAGCTAACAGGACTTGATTTCTGTTGTAATGAAATTTTTTAGAAGTACTTTTTTGACTGTTCTTTTGTTCTTCATCCTAGTGACCCCCAGCGACACTCTCATTCGTCGCTCCATCAGCCAGCAGAAAACCGGTGTTTCCATCACAATCGATGACCCTGTTCGCACTGCCCGGCAGCCCTCGCCACCTCGTGGCAAAGTCTCCAGCATTGTTCACATCAGCAACCTGGTGAGAGAACTCTGTCCTAACTGCCCTACAACCTCTACTTACTATTAACATTTATTGATAATGGCGTGCACTGATTGTAATGGTTGCATTCTGCAGCACAAATAGAAAAGCAACCAACAAATGGTGTATCTAACGTTAATGCTGGGGTTTGTGGAGTTAAACTGACCCAGCCTCTTGTTGTGTCTCAATTTACTGCTTTGCCTCCTGCAAAAGAAGAAACACTTATCTTTTTGGAAAGACCAAAATCAACCATTAGTAGTTTGTTTTTCCTCTGTGTAGCTACAACCTCATGCATAAAAAAGAGCCTTATAGGTTGCACTGGTGCACATATTCCGTCAGTATAATGAACATGGCGAGTGTAGCTTATTCCTTCCAGCAGTATAAACGCACAACTACTTCCCCGAGCATACGCAATCATGTCCGCCCGCACAGAGCTGCTCTCAGTGATTAAGAATGAAGTCGCAGAAGTGATTCAGAATAAACAACACTGCCTATGTCTATTGAAAAAAGGATGCGACAGTATGGCTCTTATCTGTGTTTTTAATAATGACTGTGGAGTTCTGTCACTGTGGCACTGCTAGTTATTTCAGGTTTTTGCTTCAAAGACAATTTTGGTTGTGGCTTTTTCTGGTAATTTATTGTTGATGAAAATGTAAAATGATACCAGGATTTTCATTGAATTGCACTTAACCAGTGGTGCAGTTTGGGATTGTTTTTTTTGTTTTTTTCCTAGTTCACTATGTATGTTTATTTACACACGTGCATCTAAGATAGGCCCAAACCACTTCTGTGACGTTCTTAAAAGATGTGTAGAAATATTTTATAGTCTTATTTAATGTGAAATTTTTATTTTTGTTGAATTATGTGAATATTTATTTTGTTTTTATTACCTCCTAGTAGGTTATGTTTTCAGTGCCGTTTCACTTGTCAGTAGGATTACAGAAAAACTACTAACCCGGTTTTCATGAAACTTAGCTGAAGGGTGTAGCAAGTGCTAAGGGAGTTCCCATTTAATTTTGGGAGGATGGGGCTTTGAAGAATGGTCAAATGGTTTCCATCAAATTACTCTGCTGTAGTCAAAGGTGTCGATCGGCTCGGCTCCAATCAGTGGTAATGTAAACCTGACACCTGGGGGAACATGCTGGTTTGACGAGGCTTCAGCTAGGCACAAGCTTAATTTGAATAGTTGTGGTAATGTATTCAGACACACATAGTGGCCGCGCTTGCAGATTTGCATATCATCGATAGGGCTGCAAATAATGACTATTTTGATAGTCGATGAATCTATCGATTATTGAAACAAATAATTGATGATGTGAAAAAATTATGAATCTCAAAATAACACAGTGCGTCTTATTTAGCTATCAGCTTTTAAATTTAAACTTGAGGTTGTTTTAAGCATGTGCTAATTAACAGTCATGACAATAAAATAAATTCAAAAAATATCAAAAATACATGTTTTAATAAACGTTTCTGCTGCAGTTCCACTGAAATCAAGTCCTGATCTAAGCAGCTGATCTGCTGTTTAGTGACGGAGCAGTTTACACGTCAGTACTGCAACACACTGACACTATATACAAAGAAAGGAATGATGCCATGCATCACATTTGCCGAATTTACAGGGGGGTCAATAATAACGATTTCGTAGTAGACAGCGTTTCACAGCGTGGATAAGACACATGCCTTTGGTGTGAGACCTGGGTTTGAATCCACTGTGAGACACTAGTGTGTCCCTGATCAAGACACTTAACCCCAAGAGGCGTGCAACCTCTGACATATAGAGCAATTGTAAGTCGCTTTGGATAAAAGCGTCAGCTAACTGTATAAATGTAAATCGTTTATGATTTTAAAGTCAGGGTACATTTGGAATGTGAACGTGTTTATAATGATTTTGTGCTACTCTTAGTGCCATAGTCAATCAAATTCAGTAAGGGAAACTGTATAGAAAACGTTACGACTCATAACGTGAAGTAACACGGCTTTAACGTGAAGCTAGCTCGCTAACTAGCTTACCGAGACGAGTCTTCATCATCCACAGAGCAACATTACACGCCTCCTCTTCAGATGCTCCGGTGTTTCCAGGAAACCTCAGCTTTGCAGATGCTGCAGTTAACAACTTTTTGGCTGAGTAAAGAGTGAGATGCTCCCACACTTTGGAGGTTTTAGGTTGTGAAGGTGTTACTGCAGCGCTGATGTTGTGGTGTTTTACTAACTTTACTGTTCACTTTAGTCCGTTAGGCTGACGGTGTCCTTAGGGCCTGGTGACGTCATGAACAAATCAATTATTAAATTCGTTGGCAACAAATTTAATAATCAACTTTCGTCGTCTATGTGCCCTTCTAGTGTATTGTGGTTCTCAATGTATGCTTAATATTTTTGCCCACGCTATTATTAATTGTGTAAAGCAGTCTTTTGATTGTTTTTGCTCTGTAATATTTTGTTCAGGTGAGGCCGTTCACTCTTGGGCAGCTTAAGGAACTGCTCGGCAGAACTGGCACCCTGGTGGAGGAGGGCTTCTGGATTGACAAAATCAAGTCTCACTGCTACGTCACTGTGAGTTACTACAAAATTATATTTTCTCTAAAAGAGGACTGCAGCTCTTAACCAGACTGTTTTTGGCCTGTGCAAGGTTCTGTATCTCATGGAGCTCTCCTATTCTCCCTGTGTTTAGTACTGTAGCTCTGAGGAGGCAGTCGCTACACGGGCAGCTCTTCATGGAGTGAAATGGCCTCAGAGCAACCCAAAAGTCCTTAGTGTAGACTTCTGCCAGCAGGATGAGGTAAGATCTTATAGTTATCAGCGTGTTTTTATGTTACGCCCACAATGCTTAGCCATCTGTAGCCTTAACATATCTCTGCTATGTAGCTGGACTTCCACAAAGGCTTGGGTACAGCCGACAGACCCGGAGCAGAGGAGCAGGGGCCGCCTGGCTCCGGTCGTGGTCGAACATCGGGCTTGCCCTCTCTCCTCCCAGAGCGAGACCAGTGGGCCGAGCGTGAGCGTGAGATGGAGCGGCGGGAGAGGGCTCGAGCAGAGCGGGAGTGGGATCGCGACAAAGTAAGAGAGTTTGGGAAACCCGGAGAAGAGAAGGAGGGAGGTCCCCGGAGGTCACGGTCCAGAGAGAGACGACGCAAAGAGAGGGGAAAGAGCAAGGAGAAGAAGACTGAGAAGAAAGGTAAGATATGCAGACATGGATTGGACTATATGCATTAGGTAAAATAGACTGTTGGATACTACTGTGTAGAGCTGAAACAATTAATCCATTAGTCCACTGATGGAGATTAATGTGAAGTTAATTTTCTAATTGATTTTTGGTTTGATAATTGATTCATTCAAGTTTTGTGCACTGTTGGTCAGACATAACAAGACAGTTGAAGGTGTCACCTTCATTGTCATTTTTTAAACCAAGCAACTAATTGAGATATAATTGGCCCAAATAATTGATGAGAATTACAGATTTTAGTAATTGTTGCAGCTCTAAGTGTATGTATTATTTTGGCAGAGAAAACAGCTGAGGATCCCCCTGCAAAGCTGCTTGATGATCTGTTCCGTAAAACGAAAGCAGCTCCTTGCATATACTGGCTTCCACTTTCAGAGGAACAGGTGAGGCAAAAACCAGTTTGTACTCGTTGCTTTCTGTGCTAAATTCAAGTACATGGCCTCTATCTAATTCAAGTCTTTACTTTAAGTCTAAGTCTTGTTTCTATGCATTCTCTTCATTTTAGTTTGTTCAACGGGAAGCTGCCAGAGCCGAGCGTATGAAAGAGCGTGAGAAGCGGAGGAAGGAGCAAGAAGAGGAGGAGGAGAAAAAAAGGGAAGAGGAGCGCAAGGAGAGGATGAAAGCCGCAGCCGGCACAGCAGGAGAGCGGAGTGAGGGTGAGAAGGACAAGGACAGAGACAGAGAGAGGGACAGAGACAGAGACCGAGGTAGAGACAGAGACAGGGAGAGAGAGAGGGAGAGGGAGAACGACAAACGCAGGGATGGCTACCGTAGGCCGGGGGGCAGCGGGACAGGCGGGGGCAGACGCTCCCGCAGCCGCAGCGACCCGCGAGAAAGGCGGCGTTAATGGCCGATCGACTGATGGAACTGTCCCAGAGACCACCCTCTTCCATTTGCCTTTCACTACATGTACTTTGTTAAAACTAAGACCCAACAGAGGACCAACTGATGTCATCACCATCTCTCAAATTGTCACCTTTTTTAAAGCACATCTAGGCCGACACAGTCATGCTTGAAGGGGACCATGATTTTATGCAGTGTTGTTTCCCCAGAGTGCTGTACGTCTCGCTCCTATCAAGGTTTAATATATTTTCTTTATACATTGTGCCTGTTGGGTTTTTTGTTGGTTTTTTTGTCTTGTCTTGACGGCACAACAGTATGGCGCGCTGGGTAATTTTAATAATTTCCCCCAATGTTTCCCATTTTCCCCTAAACATAGGTGCCAATTATGATTTGCAATCAGTTGTCGTCGACTCAGTGTTTAACAACACAACGCAATTTGGATGAGGAATCCTTTTGTTGATGCATGTAGTCCAAGGCTCTCCTCGCCAGTCCTGCCTAAAGAGAAAACTCGGCCTCTGTGCAGAGGCTTGCAAAAATATAAAAATATTGGAATAGGTGTGTTTGGCATTTTGTACAGACATATAAGATTACTCAAAATCAAGTCTTTAAATAGGGCAGCTCGGGGGTATTTTTGGACAGGTGTGGAATAACTACTAAGGCTGTTGCAGTGTTCCTCTCTCCCTCTATTTAGTTAAGAGATGAGACAATTCTCTGTGGAGGAGAATCTATGTCACACCTGACACGAGTTATGATTATGTCCTTATCGATTCTCTTTTTTCTCCTTCCTTTCCTCTTCCTCCCGTTCTCTTCCTGTAGTGTCGATACAGGCACAAGAGGGGAGGTTGCATTATATGTTTTCTCACCAATGATTTTAATATTGTTTTTTAATCATTATTTTATCATTTTAGTACCAATGTTTTTTTGTTTGTTTTTTATTTCTTCTTTGAGTACGCCTATCAGTGGTGAATGTACAAATAATAAAAATTGAATTTGAAATTTTTGTGACGTTTCTTTTCCATTCCCCTGGCTAATGTGGTTTGTAGTGTATTTCTCGGGGGGGGTGGGGTGACTGATCAAAAATGTAACTTCTCACTAGTTTGTGGGAATAGCTCTGTTCAAGCGAAGTACATGTCCTACTTGTTAAATCTGCAGTTACACTTAGAATCCACAAGGGGTCACTCACACCACATTGTGGCCCAGGTCAGTCATGGCATTTGGCACAAGAGGAATACTTTTAGGCAGTCAAGTTAAAACTTAAGAATATAAAAGAAAAGTATGCTTTAGTAAAGATACACTGATCTGCCACCAACCTCTATTGTCTCTCTATTTGACAATTCCCCTTTCCTCTGTGCCATGACAAGGTGACAGCCAGCTCTAACTTAACATTTATCCTAATCTTGTAGTTTCCTACAAGTTGGGATAGTTTACCCTCAGTACCATCTATCTCCGTCTTACCCACCTTTGCCCTCTTGTTTGCTGTAAATCATGCATTTGCCCTCTTCCCTTCCCTTATTCCATCTCTCCAGTCTTGACATTCATCCTGCAGAGCTCAGCAGTGCTCCTATGTAATTACAGCCCTATGGTCGCTGAGCATAACATTTTTCTGCCCTGATGCAACTCCATGTGTCTGGACTCAGTGAGGAGCAGTGAATCCTTCACCCTGGCATCTTCCCTGGCAGTCCAAGAACAGATTTTTCTTACTGGGGCAGAATGAGATTGCTGGAGAAAGATTTTGTCTTTCATCTTGATGATTATCTATCATGCAGGGGGCACTTAGGAGAAAAGCCAGGAAGTTGGAGGTTTTGAAGATAAGTTGAACTTTAGGGCAAAGTGGTGATGGCCAAATGGTTTGGATAGTGAGTTTCTGGGGAGTTTGAGGATGGTGTGTTAAAGGGAAACAAAGATAATGAGGTTTCTCAATGAAAATTTAATTTGAGACTAATGGTTGAAAGCTATTCCACAGCCTTATTCGTTATACCCAAACAAAACAAAAGCGTTGGTTGGACAAACAACAAGAGTGTATTGTTGCAGATGGGGTTACAGTTTGTTTTGTCTCCCTGCAGTGACAAGTGAAGTCCTCTGTTGCAAATGTCAAACTTTTTCCAGAAGAATTACTGGCAGTGACTGGATATGAACATTTAGGATTAGACTCTTTAACATATCACTCCCTTTTTGATCTGCTGACTGTCAACCCCAACTGACCCAGACCAATTTGAATTTTAGTCTGCTAATTGTGGTTACTGAATTCTTAAAATTTCAAAATGCATAACTGTTCAGTGTGATAGGAATTATCAATTAAAGGTGAGGAATGACTTGTCAGATGCAAGTTGTTTTGAATTAAAGAACAGGATGCGATGTATAAATAGTGTGTCAAATTAGAAAGCATAACCATGGCTGTTCTTTCGTTATTGGAAGACGCTGAAACCAGAACGACTTTTTTTGCGCATGATAATTCATGGTTTTTAAGTCACCATTGTCCCCCAACATACAGTGGCAAGAAAAAGTATGTGAACCCTTTGGATTTACCTGGATTTCTGCATAAATTGGTCATAAAATGTGATCTGATTTTCATCTAAATCACAACAATAGACAAATACAGTCTGCTTAAACTAACTCCACACAAACTATTATTATATCTTTCCATGTTTTTATTGAACATACTGTGGAAACAGTCACAGTGCAGGGTGGAAAAAGTATGTGAACCTTTGGATTTAATAACTGCTTGACCCTCCTTGGCAGCAATAACCTCAACCAAACATTTCCTGTATTTGCAGATCAGACCTGAACAACTTTAGCTCTGTCATATTCTTTGGAGGTCTCGCGTATGGTTCTCTTCAAGTCATTCCATAGCATCTCTATTGGATTGAGGTCTGGGCTCTGACTTGGCCACCAAAAGGCAGATTTTGTTTTTCTGAAGCCATTCTGTTGTTGTCCTGTTGCATCACCCAACTTCTACACAGTTTCAGCTGACGTACAGACATTCTCACATTATCCTGAAGAGTTGTCTGATATACTTGGGAATTCATCTTCCTCTCAATGATCGCAAGCTGATGCAGCAAAGCAGGCCCAAATCATGATGTTTCCTCCACCATACTTTACGGTTGGGATGATGTTTTCATGAGGATATGCCGTGCCCCTTCTACGCCAGATGTAGTGCTGTGTGGTTCATCCAAATAGTTCAATCTTAGTTTTATCAGTCCACAAAACATTGTACCAATACTGCTGTCTGAGTGTCAATGTGCTCTTTTGCAAACATCAGGCATGCAGCAATGTTCTTTTTAGTAAGCAGCGGCTTTCTTCACGGTGTCCTGCCGTAGATACCCTGCTTGAACTCATGAACAGATAACTTTGCCAGTTCCATTGATGCCTTCAAATCTTTGGCTGTCAATCGGGGTTGTTTTTTTTACCTCATTGATGAGTCTTTGTTGTTTTCTTGGTGTCATTTTGACTGCGTGCTCACTTCTTGGTAGAGTAGTAACAGTCCCAAAGTGTCTCCATCTCCATGTCCCCTGAAAGCTCTTTTTGGCAAGGCATGGTTCACATAAGCGTGTGCTTCTTTAAAACTCCAAATGTTTGAGGGTTTTTTATCAGTCAAAATAGCTGAGTAGCTGTAGCTGTAGTCCACACATAGTCCAAACGCATAACGAGACTCCAGGTGTGCTTTTTTGAGGTCATTAACTCAAGGGTTCACATACTTTTTCCACAAGCACTATGAGTTTTTTGTGGTTGTTCTCAATATAGACGTGAGGGATCAGAATTTTTTTGTTATTATTTTAGACACATTACATTTGTCAATACCCTTGACTTAGATGAAGATCAGATCACATTTTATGACAAATTTATTCAGAAAACCATGAAATTCCAAAAAGTTCACATACTTTTTCTTGCCACTGTATGTTCTGCTACATTTGTGTGTGGGTTTAGCCCCAAATCTGGAAAGGAAGACACTGTAATCGTACAGTACCTGTAGACCCTACAGTCTGTTGTGTCCACTTTGGGAATCCTAGTTACTTGGAAATTCCAGAGGTAAACAAGTGACAGTTCTGGTAAATCACAGCCACCATTCAGCTGCATCATGCCACAAATGATTGAATCATACACCACAAGTGCATTTGGGTATAAATGGGCTTCGTAGAACCAGCGTAAGCAAGGATTTTTATGCTCAGTATCTTTTATGAATTGAACGTTAAGCACTCTGTTGGAAATAATCTTAAGACCATAAATTCAAGTTTAAATCGTAGAACATTTTTATAAATCAGGCCCCAGGACCTGCCCAGCTATGTGGTGTGCCAGATTTGGTAAAGATCCTTGATCTTAGCAAAACTAAAGTGGAACAGCTGGACAGCACTGTGTCCACAGATGAAGAGATGACTCAAAAACAACATTTCTACAGTTGTGGGTCTTTTACAGAACCTCTAGGGACAGCTGGAGGACCACAGCAGACCACCTGTGTCTGGTGTAAAGCTCAGGTCAATGGTAAAGGTCTGTATGACCAGCGAGGCAGCTGAGCAAGGACACTCTTATGCTGATGAGTGGGCAGTAAAAACAATATGTTTTCGCTCTGTAAGCAGTGTTAAAACGCCTCCTCTCCTCCCCTCCTCCCAGGCCTCCGCTCCTCAGTGTAACCACATAGGTCTTTGTGTCCAGCACTGCTAGGAACTCAGCGCAGAGGCCCACTAAGCTCCACTTTCAAAGGAAACCTCTGATGTGGCCTTTCTGATCTCTGCATGTCTCACTGACTTTACTCTTACTCTCCTCTGGCTTGGAGTTTTTCTTTCTCTGTCTGTATCCTCTTTACTCATTGTTCTCTCTCACACATGCATAGTTGATCTTACAGATTTCTTTTTAGTCTTTTACCTGGAGGGAAGCTGGCACGTGTCATGAAAACAAATGTGAGATGATGAAAGACGATAAAGCGATATCTTGACAGTCAGTCTTACCACTCCTTGAAGTTCAAATTCCCTTGATACATACACATCCTCCCCCCTCCTCTTTCAGTCCTCCCCTATTTTCTACCCCCTCCTCTTCTTTGTCATGACATGTATATGCTTATAGAAGCCAGATGTGCCCTGTTGCGATGGAAGAGGCGGGGAGAGAATGAAAAACCAAGCATGAGGTTGTATGATACTTAATTAACAGACTGCAGGAGATGTGAGGCGGGTGAGGAGGATGAATAAGGAGTTTTGAGGTCTCAAGAGACAGACAGACAGTGACTGTATGCATATATAGATGTCTGGTGAAATTCCTACTATCCTGACCAGGCCCTGAGCAAAGCAGGGGGGTTTCCTTGCGGATATGGCTGGGTCAGGATGAGGGTAGCTGGGCTTGGAGAGCCTGAATCAGCATCTCCTATGATGGAGGTGTTTTTCTGCAGGGCTTGGGAAACCATGCCATGTGAGACAGGCGTTAGAAAAAAAGCAACCCTATGAAGTTGATTGTTCAACTTCCTCGCACCTGTATTTTTTTCACCCACACAATAACTCTCTCCGACATTTAAAAAAGACTGCTCCCACTGCACCACACCCAATTTAAAGTGCAGACATTGTGTTTTAACAAAAGCAGGCATGTAGCTCTAAACTGATGGCTTTAAGCAGATTCAGCACTGAGGGGGCAGACATGGCTAAGAAAACAGAGATCCCAAACCAAACAGTTGGGAAAATACACAAGGAAACAGAAAACTGAGATTGGGACTTCTGGGGCACACGAAAAAAGTTATGTTTAACTAATGGGGAAAGTTATTTTCCGTGCATAGCTCTGTGTGTAGCTAAATGGAATAATAAGATGCAGACATAACGGAAAAAAAGTATTAGGTATTGATCCCTCTCTTTCACTGGCCGCTTATACCACAATTAAACTCTGTGTGTGTGTGTGTGTGTGTGTGTG